TACAATCAAAGAGCATTCTGAACCCCACCGACGATAGAATGGGGCCAAACTTCCCACATAGAACCCCCATGACCAACAGAAAATACTGTGTTTTCTGATGGTCTTTGCCGACCCCTCTGACACCCCTTGCGACCCCCCCCAGGGGTCCTGACCCCCAGGTTGAGAAACACTGTTCTAGAGGCATTCTCTCCGGACGTTTTGCCTGCATCTATGGCAAGGATCCTCAGAGGTAGTGACCTCACTACCTCTGAGGATGCTTGCCATAGATGCAGGCAAAACGTCAGGGGAGAATGCCTCTAGAACATGGCCATATAGCCCGAAAAAACCTACAACAACCCTTTGCAGAATCCCTTTATATGAGGGCTAGACGGGTGCACAGAAAGAAAATAGGAGTGACAGATTTTGTTGACTTCAGACTGAACAGCTGACATTTTTTAAAGGTTACAGAGCACGTCAGAGACAAAAAATAAATGTCAACAGTTGAGATACAAAATAATGGGCACGGGTATACTTGAGTCAATTTGAAAAGTTGCACAAATTAGGTAAATTGGAAATAAATGCATTAATTTGGAAAAATGTTCTAAAAGGCATGGATTTTGGTGCAGTAAAAAAACAAACAATTTGACATTCAAAAGGATAGGGAGAGATGCAAGTGGTTGAAACTGATTTTCCTAACCCCGGTGAAATTTTACAAATGCAAATTGACAGGATAGATGTACAGTGTTCCTCAGTTACTTTAGCATTACATTCCAAAGCCTGGAATCTTTGAAATGCATCACTAAGAGAATTACATTCCTGATTTATTCATAGACGTGATCCCAGTGCATTCCCTCGTTTAGAGGATACACAGGGACCATGAACGTCCCCAATTCCCACTTGCCAGTCTGCAGCAATTACAATCAATGGAAGATCGTCCTTGTCATCATGAAGTGACTGACTGATGTCCTTGTGTGCATTGCTGGGGGAGGACCTCGTTTCTGCTCATTGCAACTGATTGCAAGGGGTGATAACATTAGCTGCTTCCCAAGTGACAGGAGCGGATTGCAGTGCCAGGCAACCCATAAGTGGGGACTGAAGGTGAGTGGTCCAGGATTCACTACATAGCTAGATATTTACCACAATTATATAGTAACGTAATGCAGAGATGTCTTGCCATTGTTTCTATCATAGATCTTAACATATTAGTTCCTTTTTTGTAAAATACCTGAAGTCATCTTTTAAAAAATCTTTTACCCAATTTTAAAGCCAGCTATGTTAAAAAAGAACCATACATACATATACTTTGATATTGGATCTGTTTGCAGCTTATCTGTAAATACAGAAGCAACCAAGCTGGACCGAAGGCCAATCTTTAGTGGACACTGGAAAACCAATTTTGGAAATGATCATAGAGACTCTGCAGTGTAACCAGTTTACAGGAGCTGCACAGATCTGCTCCTAAAAGTGGTTTCAAGATGGAAATTATTCTGATGTTTCCAACACTTGCTAACGTAATATGATAAGAGGTTGCTCAGTGTCTGCCAAGTGTATAAATACATTGTTATGTGAAAATAGTAAAAAAAAATACATATCTGTAATATAAAAGACAATATTCTATGAGTCAGAACCATAGGTCCAGAAAACCTACATGCCTTAATTTTAATCTGCAAACAAAATGTACTAATTTCATTCAATTTGTCACTTTGTTTGTTGCAGTATCACCTTCAGTCTATAGGTGGCAGGCTTACCTAGCTCTGCAAAGCAGGGAAGTAAGGGTAGGGATTCCGGAAGCAAATACAAAATACATTATTTTTGAAGTGGCAAAGGAATCTCTGAAAAATAATGTTATGCTCATGGAAATAATTCACAAAACTTATTTCCATTGCTGCTAATGCTATAATCGATCTAATACAGTGATTCTCAACCTGTGGGTCCCCAGGTGGTTTGGCCTACAACTCCCAGAAATCCCAGCCAGTTTACCAGCTGTTAGGATTTCTGGGAGTTGAAGGCCAAAAACATCTGGGAACCCCAGGTTGAGAACCACTGATCTAATACATAAAAGGTTAACCAGCCAATGACAGCACTACATTCACAGTAAAAATTATCACAACAGTATCCAGATCCACTCTTACCGAATCTGATGACACTTAGTAGGCTAGGTCATGTGTATCTTGTTAGTTTGTTTAGATAAGGTGCTTAATTACTGGCAGGTGGCAAAGGAAGCTATCTGAAGAATAAAGTTACACTCATGGAGGACTGGACTCTCACTCAGGGAGGTCTAGTAGTACACCAAGGTGGCAGACATGAATAGGGGGTCTCATTACTTCAAGATAATTATTTGCCTGACCACTGTCTCCCAAAGCAGTTGCTCTACTCCGAACTCAAAGGAAAATGGAATGTTGGTGGGCAGGAAAAGAGATTGAAAGATGGGCTCAAAGCCAACCTTAAAAACTGGCATAGACACTGAGAACTGGGAAACCCTGGCCCTTGAGTGCTTCAGCTGGAGGTCAGCTGTGATCAGCAGTGCTGTAGAATTTGAAGAGGCACGAATGGAGGGCAAAAGAGAGAAACGTGCCAAGAGGAAGGTGTGTCAATCCAATCGGGACCACCTTCCACCTGGAAACCAATGCTCTCACTGCGGGAGAAGATGCAGATCAAGAATAGGGCTCCACAGTCACCTACAGACCCACCAGAACACTGATCCTGGAAGACTATCCTACTTGGCCAACGAGGAATCGCCTAAGTAAGTATTTCAAGATGGAGAGGAATCAACAGGGCCAACTTTTAATTTTGCTTAAGGGATTCAGTATATCCAAGTGAGGCTTACTAAATCTATGCTTAAGAATATCTGTAAGAACTTTTTTCAATATAGAAATTGAAGGATTTGATGCATTTAATCTGTGCACAGACCTTCATATGCTTTTTACCCCCAAGCAGTGGCTCGCAGGTGTTTTATCTACAACTCCCAGAAATCCCAGCCAGTTTACCAGCTGATAGGATTTCTGGGAGTTGAGAACCACTAAAGCAGTGCTTCTCAACCGTCCTGATGCCGCAACCCCTTAATACAGTTCCTCATGTTGTGGTGACCCCCAACCATCACATTATTTCCATTGCTACTTCATAACTGGAATTTTGCTATTGTTATGAATTGTAATGTAAATATCTGATATGCAGGATGTATTTTCATTCACTGTACCAAATTTGGCACAAATACCTGATACGCCCAAATTTAAATACTGGTGGGGGGGGGGAGGGGTTGAATTTGTCATTTGGGAGTTGTATTTGCTGGGATTTATAGTTCACCTACAATCGGAGACCAGATTGTACGATGGAATATGGCAAAACATGGCACACAGATCTCCCATGACCAACAGAAAATACTGGAAGGGTTTGGGTGGGCACTGACCTTGAATTTTGGAGCTGTAGTTCACCTATATCCAGAGAGCACTGTGGATTCAAACAATGATGGATCAGGACAAACTTGCCACAAATACTCAATATGCCCAAATGTGGAGTTTGGGGAAAATAGACTGGACATTTGGGAGTTGTAGTTGCTGGGATTTATAGTTCACCTACAATCAATGAACATTCTGAACATTGGGCCACACTTCTCACAAAGAATCCCCATCACCAACAGAAAATGCTGTGTTTTCTGATGGTCTTTGGCGACCCCTCTGACACCTCCTCACGACCCCCCCCAGGGGTCCCGACCCCCAGGTTGAGAAACACTGCACTATAGGGATTTAATTAGTAATACAAAGTTTTGAAAACACTCTGTGTATTTATGGATTAGGCTGGGTTTTAGTTTGCTGCATCTATGCAGTCCCACAGAGACCCTGCACGAATCCACGTGACTGCAAAGCCAGCCACCTGGGAAAACTCCACTTACAGGTAAGCCAACTATCCATGCTAATAATGCACATGAAACTGCTACGCTTTGTGGGATGCTGCCCTTTCCCTTTGGCACAAGCTGCCAGGCTAAAAATGCCAGCTCTCTTTTTGGACTTCTCTTTTGTTGTTGCTTTTTACAGCAATGGTTTGAAACGGCAGAAACAAAATGTCCCATGAAGCATCTGGCCTCTGTTCTAGCTAGTGACTACGCAAGTGTAGTGACCCCCTCACACTGTCAAAATATTCAGGAAGGAGGACAATTCTGGAAAAAAAACCAACCACTTTAATTAGACAACTGCAAGCACCTCAAACAATTGGTTATTGTTACAACACAGGTTTTTGTCTCACAATCTAAGTATTGCAAAGGCATGTGAATAAATTTAAAATGGACAAAGTCAAGAAAAAAGTGGCACCATAATTAATGTGTAAAACCAGAAATAAATTTACATTCATTCCAATGACTTCTAAAAGAGGCTAAAATACACCTCCATATTTTTTTACATTCTAAAATCTGTATTGCCTATGAGTTCTCTTTTGGAATCTACTTAGCTTTTTTTTTTTGTACGAAAACACTAAAAATTTTGTGTGCAACTTACAAAGGAAGATTACTTCCTCAATATGTCAATTTATTTATGGGGAAAAGAAGCTAGTGCAATTCATTTTAGAAACATGTAAAGCTATGTATGGAAGGTGCATGGTCTCTCATTGCAAAGTAAAATTTGCATCAATTGTGTTCTTCCTTTCTCTTAAGCAGAGCATCTTTTTTTTCACCAAAGGTGAAAAACACAAAAACGCTTCCCAGGCTGTCTTTGAATGTTAGCGTGTAGCACATCAACCATCCTTTGGAAAAGGCAGTGCCCTCTTACCTTGCCATCACCTCACACATGTAAAGCAAATGACTCCTCTTAAAAGCACTTACAAGTAGATATATTTTATCCTTTGAAGACTTAGCCTTCCTTTAAAGTGCTTCCTAGAGAATGAAATCTTGTAAATCAGAGCCGGTCCCTTTCCAAATCCAATATGCTAACTGCAAGGAAAGCGTAATGCAATTCCTGAAGCAATCTGAAAACCCTCGACATGCAATCTGTACACTACAAGTCACTCTCAATTTAGTAGCTTTACTCTTGACATTGGTGTCCCCATCCCATTTTTAATGGAAATAAACATTTACAGGGTGCATTTACATAGACTATTTTACAAGAACAATGTCCCTTTGTCCAAAGATAGAATTGTACATTTTCTCAATTCTGACTTGATAATGTCTCACACGTAAATTATATAATACTCAGCTAAAATATTTTTCCATAAATAGTTACAAAACCTGCCAAAACACATGAGGGGAGAATAAAGAATGATTTGTTCCAAAAGTTGATGTCTGAATGCCACACAACACAAGAAACAATGCTTTAAAGACACATTAGTAAGTGTTTTTTTCTGCAGAGTCGGTAAAACTACTAGCTGAAGACAGAAAGACTATTCCTCCTCCCAAGAACACAGTGCACAAAAAGCAAAATGTCAAACAGTACCTCAAAGCAAAAAAAAAAAAAAAAGAGGGGGGAAAGTCTGGGTTTTGGAGCCAGCTCATTTATGATCCTGTTAAGAGAATTAATGACAGTCACCATTTAAGTCTGATGTCGGGGAAAGTGGGTGCTGGCCCAATGTGATCGCTGGAGACTTTGCTAGGAATTCAACCAAGGGTGCCTAAGGCATTCACCAGCCGAGGCTCGCTTCTCTGGAACCATTTCTAGCATAGGAATCAGGAAATCTGTAAACTCTGCGGCATCTTCCTGAGGCCAACCATACTTCTCCACCAGGACATCAAAGAGGCTCCAAGGTTTCAGTTTGGTAATGTGCCGAAGTTCTCCTGCATTTAGGGAAAGAAAAAAAGAAAAAGAGAAAAGGAGTTACTTTTAGGGGTATTAAACTGAACATCAAGCAAAAAGTGGGCACTAGAAACAATATCATACGAAAGCTGACTGGCACATCCTGGGGATCACAACCAGACACAAAAGCTTATGCTGCAAATTTGTTTCTCCCAGTTAATCTCAAAGGGGTTACAAGATGTATGCTTTGAAACATAGTAAATATTATACTGGAAAATTAGACCCCTTCTACACTGCCCTGTATCCCAGGATCTGATCCCAGATAATCTGCTTTGAACAGGTGGTGCAGTGGGTTAAAGTGCTGAGCTGCTGAGCTTGTTGAATGAAAGGTTGCAGGTTCAAACCCGGGGAACGGCATGAGCTTCCGCTGTCAGCCCCACCTTCTGCCAACCTAGCAGTTCAAAAACATGCAAATGTGAGTAGATCAATAGGCAGGAAGGTAATGTCGCTTCTCTGGTGGGAAGGTAACGTCGCTCCATACAGTCATGCGGGCCACATGACCTAGGAGGTGTCTATGGACAACACCGGCTCTTTGGCTTTGGAGATGAGCACCACACCCCAGAGTCGGACACGACTGGACTTCATGTCAGGGGAAAACCTAAACACTGCCAGATAATCTGGGATCATATCTTGGGATACAGGGTAGTGTAGAAGGGCTCTAATTCTCCAGTGTAGTAGGGGCCTTACCAACTCCGAAAGGTAATACAAAGAAGTTAAAGAGACATACGGTATGAATTTTTTAAAAAATACACAATGCCATTCGTTGAAAGTGTAGCTGTATGTTTGTATGCTTACAGAAACCTATCCAGCAGTTAATACAATCAACTGACAAATTTGTATAAGACTATGAAGACAATTTCCTCACATGAGCCAAATATAAACAATAACCCTTCTAAACATGTAGAGCAGTGGTTCTCAACCTGGGGTCCCCAGATGTTTTTGGCCTTCAACTCCCAGAAATCCTAACAGCTAATAAACTGGCTGGGATTTCTGGGAGTTGTAGGCCAAAAACATCTGGGGACCCCAGGTTGAGAACCACTGATGTAGAGCCTCTTTAATTTAATTTTTTAATTTTTTTAATTTAATTTTTGTTTAGCATTGCAGTTATTCTGATATTTCAGTTATATTCTGATCTATCTATCTACACACACACACACACACACACCTGAAAATAAAGATTATTCTATAATCCTTATTTCATAACAAATATTCACTAGTTTGCCTGATAAGCTATAAACTACTTGAAATAATTCCACATGCCTTTCCAGGCTTCAACAAGAAAGCACTAGAAGGAGAGAGCAGTATTACTCTAAAATGAGAAATGTATCCTTGTAAAAGTGCTCTTAAAAACAAATGAAGTAAGGTGTGCATTGTAGCAGTGGACAGAGGGAGTGTGCTGCCTCTAAAGTATTATAAAGCACATAAATGTAAGCAAAAAAATAGCACTTGAGGACCAGAGGCAAAATTCAACATAATCACGGAATGTGGAAAGCAGCAAAAGGAGCCAAGTCTCTTCAGAGGAAAAGACCCCTCGCACATCCAGATGCCCCTTGCTTTTGGCATGAGATAATGGCAATGCACCTTTTGCCTGTGTTCACTAAATTTGACTGGTCATGAAGCACAACAAACCAATGAACTCCTACAATGGCTCCTCTAGATATAGTTCCATGACAAAATCTGACATTGAGATAGGTCTTCCACCTCATCTATAGAAAAAGTTGCATCAAAAGGAAGGAGAATCCTGACAAGACGTAAGCCACAAGATGGCAATGCAGAACCAGGATTCTGTTTCTCAAGTTGTGATGGTATTGTTTCTTTTTTTAAATCGCATTTTCTTCCACTTCTTGCCTTGAGGGCACAATAAACAACACAACTGAGATACTTATTTTGAGGAAAAATAAAGAGCTCACAAGGAACCATCAAGACCTTTGGTCGTAATTCAGATTTTTCCACTCTTTCTAACAATCTTATGTTCTCTTGGTTTATCTAGTATTTTATTAAAATAATGTGATTCAAAGCAGGCAGAAATCTATACATGAGGAACCACGACTGCATAATGGGTTAAACTCTTCTGCCAGCTAAACTGCTGACCTGAAGATTGGCGGTTCTATTTCGCTTTGGTTAGACCACACCTGGAATATTGTGTCCAATTCTGGGCACCACAATTCAAGAGAGATATTGACAAGCTGGAATGTGTCCAGAGGAGGGCAACTAAAATGATCAAGTGTCTGGAGAACAAGCCCTATGAGGAGCAGCTTAAGGAGCTGGGCATGTTTAGCCTGAAGAAGAGAAGGCTGAGAGGAGATATGATAGCCATGTATAAATATGTGAGAGGAAGCCACAGGGAGGAGGGAGCAAGCTTGTTTTCTGCTTCCTTGGAGACTAGGACGCGGAACAATGGCTTCAAACTACAAGAAAGGAGATTCCATCTGAACATGAGGAAGAACTTCCTGACTGTGAGAGCCGTTCAGCAGTGGAACTCTCTGCCCTAGAGTGTGGTGGAGGCTCCTTCTTTGGAGCTTTTAAACAGAGGCTGGATGGCCATCTGTCAGGGGTGATTTGAATGCAATATTCCTGCTTCTTGGCAGGGGGTTGGACTGGATGGCCCATGAGGTCTCTTCCAACTCTTTGATTCTATGATAAAAGTCATGCTCTCCTATAGATCATCTCTGTCTCTGGCAACCCAGGAGAACAGAGACAGAAGATTTAAAGAGGAAAAGCAGAAGGGAACTACTATACTGCAGTGGTTGAAGAGGAAAACTATGAGCCAAGAAGTCCTTAAAGGGGACTTTGTTTCCCAACTTAAGAGGTAGCCTTGGGCAAGTTCCATTTTTAGCCTGCTCATCGGATTTTAAGGAAAAACTGAAAGAAATCCACTGCTTTGACTCCTAGGCCAGTTTTTAGTATCACCCGCACATCCACTACACACAAAGGACAAACACTGTCTTGTCTCATTTTCTTTGCACAAATCGGAGAACCTATTCCCAAAGGCTATGTCCAGCATTAGATACAATTGAAAAGAATGGCTGCACACACGTGCTTTTAAGCATTTAGCTTTCATATAACCTTTGAGTTCTTTGTGGCCTGTACTCCAGATGATGCCAGGGAGATTTTGCTAACACAGAGGAAGGAGGAACGCTCCCAAAGTTGTCCAGATTAATTCAGGACTATTATTTAATGGTTTTTCTTCCTTCAGAACATATTTAAAGCACCCTGGATTTATCCAGCAGATATGCAAAGACAGTCTTCTAGATGTAACTACAGCCCAGGGAGGAGAGCCTCGGTACCTAATCTGTCCTTTCATAGGTCCATATCTAGATTGCCATTGTTCCCCCATCATGGTCCCTGTGAATCGCACATATGGTATTTCCTGCGCAGATAGTTCGGAATCTTCTAGAAAACTTATTAGACACTTTTAGTTGGTAGCCCCGCCTACTCTCCCCTTGAGAGTATATATAGCCAGGTTGTTTCCCCCTTTTTAACTATGGTTACAGGTAAGCAACACATTTATTCAATGGCTTCCCAAGGTGTGCACAGACTTTCTTGCTTCAATCTAAAATGTCAAACAACCTCTCCTAAAGCTTAGTAATGCATATCAGTATACTAAGAGCTTTAAGCTATATATAATAATAAATAATAAAACTTTATTTGTACCCCGCTACCATCTCCCCAAGGGACTTGGTGCGGCTTACATGAGGCCAAGCCCACAATACATCAATAAACAAAACAATAATACAATACAATACATCTATATAGAGAGAGATATATACTTTTGGTTTCACATGCTTCCTTATGGTCTACACATCACTGCAATGCAAAGCTTTAAGAATTTCTCTGAAATAGAATCTAATCATTGTATTGAGAGATTTCCACCCCTTCGCAACAGCCCTGGAGGGTTTTGTTGCTTCCGTACATTATCAGAAGGGGCGAACTACCCTTCCCAGTCTCATTCCCTTCTCTACATCTTAATTCATGCAGGGTACAAAACCGCACAGTGATATGATCCATGGAAAGTAGGCCCCGCTTCAGCATGGGGGGGAGCGCAATGAGATGTCATGGAGGCAACAGAAACTGGTGAAAATGGCCAACCATCTTCCTTCCACGACAAGTGGTTAACAACCATACAGGGATATTTTCATAGAAAGACCATTTAGAACATGGGTCCTCAAACTAAGGCCCAGGGGCCAGATATGGCCCTCCAAGGTCATTTACCCGGCCCTCACTCAGGGTCAACCTAAGTCTGAAATGACCTTGAAAGCACACAACAACAACAATCTATCTCATCAGCCAAAAGCAGGCCCACACTTCCCATTGAAATACTAATAAGTTTATATTTGTTAAAATTGTTCATTTAATTATTGTATTGTTTTAAAGTGTTTTTTTTTTTTTGCACTACAAATAAGATATGTATAGTGTGCATAGGAATTCATTAATGTTCTTTTCAAATTATAACCCATCCCTCCAACAATTTGGGGGACTGTGACCTGGCCCTCTGTTTAAAAAGTTTGAGGACCCCTGATTTAGAAAGTCAGTGCAATTCTAGGGTACGTATTCATATAATCCCAGCTTCATTCTTTCTATAGGAACAGTAAAATGTGTATTTTTTTGGGTTTTGTTTTTTGTGTGTGTGTGTGTGCTCAGAGCTTGCATAGTTTTTTTCTTCTTTTGATCTGAGGGTGAGAAATGTATTGCCACTGATTATCAAAAGTTCTAGAGCAGTGGTTCTCAACCTGGGGTCTTCCGATGTTGTTGGCCTACAGCTCCCAGAAATCCCTGCCAGTTCACCAGCTGTTAGGATTTCTGGGAGTTGAAGGGCAAAAACACCTGGGGACCCCAGGTTGAGAACCACTGTTCCAGACTGAAAAAAGGCAAGCGTTTTTCTTATATATTTAGTTTTTTGTTTTTGAACTGCCATTAAAATCAGAACACCAATATCAGGCAAAACCAATTCCAGGAGGAACAAAGGACTGCACTGTGCACAGGATAGACTCCATGCTCTTGAAAACAGAAAACTCATCTGTACATAACTTCTTTAGTATGTTCCTAAAAATCAAGAAGGCTCTGCATTATCCATTTTTCAAAAAAGCGTTCAGGGTCTTCTTTTGGAAAAGGTTACAGTTTAAATTAGGTTTTCAGAGACACCGTTACCTGTTCTGGTGAAAAACTCCTTGGAATATTTCCCCAACATAGCGTATTTTCGAGGAATTTTTCCCAGCAGTTCAATGATCAATGCTATGTGATCTGCATTGGAGAACATTTCCAGCAAAACAGAAACATACAATAGTTTAATCAATACATTGCATGCACACGCTAACACTGGCCCGGTACAGACAGAAATAGATCATTCCCTACGGAAAATACAATGTCACTAAGTGACTGGACTATTCACAGATGGTATAATTGAAAAAAGCCATTGATTTTGTCAAAAGAAAGAAATCACCCAGTGATTTTGCTTTTAAATACTTGTTTTGCCAATTGCCGGCCTCATCACCTGGGAAGGTGCATTTTAGCCCTAAACCCATCACATAGCCAATCCATTTCTGTCTGCGTCACGGTGCCCTTCAAAAAGAAGAGGTACTACCTCTGCGATTGAAGAATTCCCGAGAATATTTTCCAGATAGAGCAAAGTGCCTTGGGATATTGCCTAGCAGCTCTATGATGTGTGCTATGTGGTCTATGAAGGAGAGAAAAAAGGACACAGGAATGGGAAGGGCAAGGAGAGAGAGGGTGGGAGAAAAGAAGAGGAAAGAAAATGGAATTAGTTTCACAATCCACAGACGTTGAGAACACGTTTGCAGAAAACCCATGCAGACGTTTCCAGGAGCAGCAAAATCATGGCGTCATTAGTAGCACTTGGAAAAGGAAAACCAAATAACGATGCCCACGTTATTACCACCGAATGTAAAGGACATTATGAGCGAACAAGCATGGGAAATGGACAGGAACACAGATGGAAGTGAGAGTTAATTCTGGCTGGTTTGCTTTTCACTTAGTAATCAGCTGTCACAAGCAGAATGGACGTTCAGCATCCTAAATACTCGGTCTGTTGCCAAGAGAGGCATTCACACCACGTCAACTTTTGTTTCTAAAATGCAGTCATGTTGTTGTGCTGCCTCACACAGATGCAACTCTTACAGGACAAGGCAGGAGGCTCATCCTTTCAAGACTCAGAGGAGAGGAGTGTGTCTGTAGAAAGGAGGCAGCCCACCTACTCTTAGTGGTGGGACTAAAGATGGGAAGGCCTGAGAAAAAAAAACGGAAAATTTGGAGGGGATGAGACCAGGGGCGGCTCATCCATTACGCAAAGTAAGTGGTCGCAGTACACTTTTTTTGCCAGGGGCGCAGAGGCGCCTCTGTAAATGCCCCTCAACCGCCACTTGAGGAACGTCCCCTCGGCTCACAACAGCCCTAGCAGTCTGGGCGAAGCCTCGGCAACCCATTACGCAAAGTAAGCATTTGCAGTATAGTTGATTTTGCCCAGGGGCGCTCTTGAGGTGCTCTTGGGGAAAATAGACCTTGATATATGCGAGTTGTAGTTACTGGGATGTATAGTTCACCTACAATCAAAGAGCATTCTGAACTCCACCAATGATGGAATTGAACCAAATATGGCACACAGAACTCCCACGACGAACAGAAAATATATATCAGTGATTGGTTGGGGGCACCAAAATACTGTTTGCTTAACGTTGAAAATTACCTAGGGCCACCTCTGGGTGGGACAGGTTGTTTTCCCCTTTTAAATTTTTTCCACCCCCCACTCCACATTTCCCCCCAATTTTTCCAGGATTTTTTTTCCAGGCCTTCTGTAATGAATCTTACCTAGTAGGCCAGAAAAGAAGCCTGGATAACAGTATGGCAAACCTCCATTTTGAGAGTGTAAGCCAGGGAAGCAGCCATCTTGAGTGAGGATAGATAGAAGATGGGAGGAGTTTGAGGTCTCCTGGGATTGGCTAGAGCAGATGGGAGGAGCCAAGTCTTAGGAGGGAAAAGATTTCAGCTTCTGTGGAGTTGAGAACTGGGAGCTGGTGGGTGAAGAAGTGTTTTTGAAAACTGGGTTTTCAGGGAGAGAGTGTCTGTGAGACAGGGTTGATTAGCTGACAAGAGAAAGGTTCAAGCAGCAACCTGATTTCTTGTGGGAGATAGCACAGGAGATTAGCTCTCTAGACTGAGTTAGTTAGCAGAAAGAACTCTGGGAAGAGTTAGCTGATAACTCAGGGGACTACCTAGGATAGGTTAGTCAGAAACTCATTACTGCTTCTCTGAAGTAAAGTGAGGGATTGTTGTTACTAGCAGCTTGATTAGCTCTGTATGTAACTAACTGAAGAAACTCATTCTAGCAACCATCAAGCTGTGGAACTTTTGTAACAAGTCAAGCATTTTGTGCCTCTCAGAAGTAGTTAGTTGTCTGTTTTTACAAATAAATCTTTTTCTATTTAACTTTCAAAAAGTCTCTATTGTTCCTCAATCTATCTGTTGGGGTTCAGCCTGTGTGTGAACCTGAACCTGATTCTCTGATTGTATTTCCTGATGCCAATGAAGATGTTGATTCTGAGGGCAATGTAGAAGATGACGGTTTGTGTAGTGAAACTCCTGCAGCCTTAACTCCTGCAGACTTGGAAAGTGAAAGTCCAAATTCCCATGAGAATATTTCAGAGCCAAGCGGTGAACTTTCACTCCCATTTCCTCCCAGTCTTAGCTCTCCAGAGAATCTGACACCTGGTCTCTCTAATGAGGATAGGAGAGGGCAGATTTGGCAGAGCAGGGGAGAATCTCAAAGTTTACGAAGGTCAGCTAGACTGAGAGAAATGCAAACAAAGCCTGCAGGTGTGTCACGTAATAGATTTCTCGGCCTTAAGTACCTCGTGCCTGGATGTATCTTCAGACCAGGCATAGTTCCAGATTCAAGCATCATCCTTGGCAGGTCTCCTGATTCTAGTGGCCTTATTCTTAAGAGGCTTCCTAGTTGCTTCAAGTACGGTTAGTGGATTGCTAACAGGTTCCAGGATTTAACAGTGTTACTGTGGGTTTTTGATCTTGTTCATGGACATTTCTTGTTGCTGATTTTTACTGTGGCTTTTTACCTTGCATATTTCCTCTATTTTTGTACTCATCTTTCTTCAATAAAAAAGGATTGTTTTTCCTGAAGTCAAGTGTGGTGAATTGTTGTCTGAGGGCCCAGTTTCCTGCTCTGGGTTGCAACACTATCATTAATCCTTTGTGATAATTCCAGTAACTTTAACATCCTGATACTACACAAAGGCCTCTTATCCAAACAGTCATTCTGGGAGCTAAGGGAAGATCAGTATTGGTGGAAGTGGGAAAAGTTTACCTTAAAAACTCATTTTAAAAATCCTAAGGCAACTTGGGTTGGTGGCAGCTTTAAACCAAAAGAAAACGAAAAGACAAGCAGTAATCGCTCAACAATTACACATATCTATCTACATCTCGCTACCAAATTGGAGGCACAGGGGTAGGATTTTTGAGGAAAAAAGTGAATCCTTGGGGAAGAACCAGCCTGCCCAGACATATTATCAATAAGCCTCCAGCCTCACATCACTGGATGTGATACTTTATTCATACTGGTGTCCAGTAGTGTGATATCACATACATTCCTTTATAGTGGTATTTAGCAGCGTGATATTTGGTGATATATTATATGGGGATCCGTTATACCTTCCCTTCTCTAGACAGGACTTTAAAGGAGGTAGGAGGAAATGTGGGGTTTACATTCAGAAATGAAACATTTCCATCAGCAATCTTCTTGAACAAACCAACCAATGCTTCTTCATATCCCTCTGCACAGACAGGGAAGCTCAGGATAATATTTGAAAGTTGAAAAGTCACATACCCTCATCTCTGGAATAGTCTTCACCAGAATGTGGTTCAAATAGATAATCACCAGTCGCAAGCTCAAATGCCTAAGACAAAACAAGGAATTTTTTATATTTATTTTTTATTTATTTCTTTCCTATATTTATACCCCGCCCTTCTCCCCCCGAAGGGGGACTCAGGGTGGCCTAACAAATGCATCATACGATGCTAGCATCATAAAAACAACTACAGTACAATCAAAATATTTAAAAAAATAAAACAACAATTAAAACAATTAATTAAGACACATCCATTAAAATTTAAATCCAAAAACCAGTCCGGGTCAATTCATTGCCATAAGTTTTGTGATCTTCTTCCACTTGCTGCTCACTGATCAATGTTTGGTCCCATAACCAGGTCTTGATTTTCCTTCTAAAAGACAAGAGGAAGGTGGCCAATGTGGTATCTCTAGGGAGGGCGTCCCATAGGCGGGGGGCCACTGCTGAGAAGGCTCTGTCTCTCGTCCCCATCAACCACGTTTGCGATAGTGGTGGGATCGAGAGCAGATCCTCTCCTGAAGATCTTAAACTTCGTGATGGTTCGTGGCAGGAGATATGTTTGGACAGGTATATGCAATAAAGAATATCTTTTTTAAGGCAAAGTTTGTCACTCGTAGAAAAAAATATTTTAAACAAGTATATGGCTTGGTCTAAAGTGCAAAATATGACCAACTATATGAGTTGTCTCCTAGAATGTTTCATAGGTCAATCAGCAATTGCTAGGCTGGTTTCATAAAATGCTACCTTAGGGATACCCAGGACAGATGGATGTTTTTGTTTTGTTTTTTTTTTCAAATAAGTGGGCCACTATGCTATTTCATAATTGCTTTTTGTAGGTGCTTGAAAGACATTGAGACAAAAAACACAAATCCAAAGCCGTTTTGGATACAAAAAACTAGTTATGCGGGTTCTTCCAGCAGAATCCTTTGCAACCACTGTTGAGAGAAGCAAGGCTCCAAAAGGGCTACAGCTCCACCTATACTATTCAGGGCGATACCACACAATAGCATTGAGCAACTACTGTAATGTGGCAACTCCCAGCTAGTATGCATGAAATAACTGAATCCCCCCCCCCCCCCCCCCCCCCGGTTGAGCATGTTTTCTTAGATTTTTAAGACAACAAAATGAGAAGTATTTTTCACAAAAGCTCATCGTTACCCTATAGAATAATGTTGTTTCTGGCTTATGGAGACCATAAAGTGAACCTATTGAGTCCTGGTCTAGTACTCAAACCACACTACGCTGGCTCTAAATAATAACATCTATTTCACAGAAAGTGTTATGGGCAGGGACTACATATTTCCATCAAGCAGAATGTTTCAGCAGTGTAAGTCAGATATGCAAACGAATGAATGCAAGTATGTTTATTTGAAGGGAATTTATTTATCTTTTTTTATTTACAACATTTTATGCCGCCCTTCTCACCTCGGAGGGGACTCAGAGCGGCTTACAAGATTTTTATTTATTTTATTTATCATGTCAAGATCAAGATAGATATAGATAGATAGATAGATAGATAGATAGATAGATAGATAGATAAATGTAATGTTCGTTTGTGGGATTAACAGAACTCAAAAACCGCTGGACAAATTGACACCAAATTTGGACACAAGACACTTTGTGGACAACCCAATGTATGTCCTTCACTCAAAAAAATGATTTTCTCATTTGGGAGTTATAGTTGCTGGGATTTATAGTTCACCTATAATCAAAGAACATTCTGAACTCCACCAACAATTGAATTGAACCAAACTTAGCACACAGTTCTCCCATGACCAACAGAAAATACTGGAAGGGTTTGGTGGGCAGTATCCTTTGGTTTTGGAGTTGTAGTTCACCTACATCCAAAGATCACTGTGGACTCAAACAATGATGGATCTGGACCAAACTCTACAGGAATACACAATATGCCCAAATGGTGGAGTTTGGGAAAAATAGAATCTTGACATTTGGGAGTTGTAGTTGCTGGGATTTATAGTTCACCTACAATCACAGAGCATTCTGAACACCACCAACGATAGAATTGGGCCAAACCTCCCACACAGAACCCCCATGTGGGCCACAGTAACGCGTGGCAGGAGACGGCTAGTATACACACACACACACATTATATTATTAGCATAGTACAATATCAGTATTATATATTACTATATTGTACTATGCTATTATATTGTAATATTATTATTAATATGAATGCTGCACTATTTTGGACTTGCCATTTGATGTTTTATTAGGAAAGGACCAATTTAGTGGCAATGGGAAAGATGACAGGGCCAATTGGATTTGATGCGGAGGGTGGGAAGGGTGGAATATAAATGTTTTAAATAAATAAATAAATAAATAAATAAATATTCTATTTGCACAGCGATGAATTAGTTGTATATGAGAAGCCTACTAGGAGGACCAAAGCAGAGTTACACCCTCTGTGTTCTGTAATGCTTATAATGTTATATTGTAGTATGTTAAGAATCTCCAAAGTTGTCGTAGTTGTATCAGCTTTCCAAACCTTTTGAAATACTAACGCTTGCATAGAATAAAAATCTGAATTTCCAGCTGCCAGACACCTGTATAATGGCATTATCATGGACATAGACATAGATATAATGCGAGTCCTTCATAATACAAGATTGTATAAAGCATCTATAACAAAGCAGTAAGTCACAGACATTGATTCAAAGTGCTGGCTTTAGCCTATAAAGCCCTAAACCAGGGGTCCTCAAACTAAGGCCCGGGGGCCGGATATGGCCCTCCAAGTTATTTACCCGGCCCTCACTTAGGGTTAACCTAAGTCTGAAATGAGTTGAAAGCACATAACAATAACAATCCTATCTCATCAGCCAAAAGCAGGCCCACACTTTCTATTGAAATACTAATAAGTTTATATTTGTTAAAACTGTTCTTCATTTTAATTATTGTATTGTTTTTAAGTGGTTTTTTTTTTTTTTGCACTACAAATAAGATATGTGCAGTGTGCATAGGAATTCATTCAATCCGGCCCTCCAACAGTTTGAGAGGCTGTGACCTGGCCCTCTGCTTACAAAGTTTGTGGACCCCTACCCTAAACGGTTCCGGTCTAGCCTACCTACCGAATGCATCTCTCCCTTCTAGGAATTTAAGATAATCAGGGGATCCCGCCTGCCACACAGGCGCGCCTGGCGGGGACAAGAGACAGGGCCTACTCAGTGGTAGCCCCCCTAGCTGTGGAACTCCCTTCCCAGGGATATTAGATCTGTCCCCTCCCTCCTGACCTTTCGAAAAGAGCGAAGACCTGGCTCTTCGAGCAAGCGTTTGGGATTTCAGCATGACCAAATAAGCACAAGATTGGAACATGACCTTGGAACGGCTAAGATGAATGTAACGGATGAAGAACCGGACTGGGTAACTTCGTTTTTCTATAGATTTTTATAGTTTTTACAGCTTCTATGGTTTTATATGGATTTTATGATGTATTTTATGGCTTTTAACGGATATATGTATGCATATGGGGCATCTAACTGTTGCCATTCTGTATGCCGCCCTGAGTCGCCTTCGGGCTGAAAACAGCAGGATAAAAGTGACTTAAATAAATAAATTAACGATTCAACGGCATCCTTCCTTTGTCTCACCATCCTAGAAGAACATTCTGCGTGACTGCATCTCCGTATATGAACCCACACAATCTCTCCGATCATCTGGAGAGGCCCTGCTCACAATCCCATCTGCGTCGCAAGCGCAATTGGTGGAGACGAGGGACAGGGCCTTCTCCGTGGTGGCCCCCCGACTCTGGAACTCTCTCCCCAAGGACATCAGACAAGCCCCAACATTGGCAGTCTTTAGGAAGATCTTGAAGATGTGGTTGTTCCAGTGTGCCTTCCCAGAATAGCAAACTCCTAGCATCATGTCCCAATTGCACTTTACTAGAGATTTAAGATTGTCTGCACACCGCACCTATCTCCAAAAACCTATCCATCTCACCTGTCATGTTCAGCATTTTAAAATTTTAATCATTACATTTGGCCCGGCCTTAGTTTTAAATGTGTCATTGTGTTATTGTCTAATGTTTATTGCTATTGTTTTAATGTTGATTGCTTGTTTTGAGTTTATTTATTGTTGTATTTGTTATGCTGTTGTTTTATTGATGTGTTGGGCCTCGGCCTCTTGTAAGCCGCACCAAGTCCTTCGGGAGATGTTAGCGGGGTATAAATAAAGGATTATTATTATTATTATTATTTTATTATTATTCCCACTGACAGAATGGAATGGAATGGCAAGATTTTAAGATTCTTATCATTTTAAATCTTAAATGTTCCTTTTAATATCTATAAATAAAAATGCGTCTGCCCAGGAGATTTCTTGTGGTTATCTACCCTCTCAATTGGTGAAGAATCCTAATGAATGCACAATAAGGGTTTGATGGCAGGGCTGGGTTCATTGCAATCACTTGCCCTGGCGCCAACCCAGAAAGCATGAATGAGGACAAGCGATGGAATCACAGGTCTCATTCTCATTCCCAGCAGTAGTATAAGCCAAACTACTGGCAGCTGGAGTGGATTCCTGTACATCATGAATTTCCAGCTGGCATAATGACATACCATTCAGTGCTTGCTCAGTCCTTTTCCCAATAGAACACTTCTTTCTCCTGTCTCTTTAATGAGCAAAACACAGCTTGATAATAGGGGGCTAGTTAATGACAGTGTGGTTTCCAATCAATTCAGCCAGACACACAGACATACATCCTAACAGTAAAACTGTATTTCTGATTCAGTAGGAAAACGATGTTATTCTGTAGTTCTTACCATACATGCCGTACTCCAGATATCAGCAGGTGTACTGTAACCAGCTCCTATCAAAACCTCTATTGATCTATACTGCCGTGTCTGAATGTCTTCTGTGAAATGTTTATGCTAAAAAAAATGAAAACGACAATAGTAATATAAAACATTACTTTGATTTAGATTACAAAATTTTAAAAAAGGAAACTCATTAAAAACTAGTTACACTTACCACCCAGCAAGCATTTCCCAGGTCAGCAATTTTGACTCTAATTTTATCAGCATTTCTTGGATCCAATGGATTCACCAATAAGTCAGCAGCACGAGTTTTTGCTGTTGTAAGTAAAGAAGTAGTACAGTTAATAATAATAATAATAACAACAACAACAACAATAATCAGCAGATAACCCAAAATGCAGACTGTGCAAGGAAGCTGATGAAACCATGGATCATATCCTCAGCTGTTGCAAGAAAATCGCACAGACGGACTACAAACAGAGGCACAGTTCTGTGGCACAGATGATTCATTGGAACTTATGTCACAAGTACCACCTGCCAGCAGTAAAGAATTGGTCGGATCATAAACCCGCAAAGGTTGTGGAAAATGAACATGCAAAAATACTGTGGGACTTTCGAATCCAGACTGACAAAGTTTTGGAACACAATACACCAGACATCATGATTGTGGAAAAGAAAAAAGTCTGGATTATTGATGTCGCCATACCGGGTGACAGTCGCATTGAGGAAAAACAACAGGAAAAACTCAGCCATTATCAAGACCTCAAAATCGAACTGCAAAGGCTCTGGTATAAACCAGTACAGGTGGTCCCAGTGGTCATTGGCGCACTGAGCTGGCATTTGGAAACAATAAACATTGACAACATCACAATCTGTCAACTGCAAAAGGCCACCTTACTTGGATCTGCGCACATCATTCGAAAATACATCACACGCTTGGGAAGTGTTTGACTTGTTATTTTGTGATACGAAATCCAGCATATAGATCTCATTTGCTGTGACATACTGTGTTTTTGTGTCAATAATAATAATAATAATAATAATAATAATAATAATAATAATAATAATGGAAGACAGCCTAGTGTACATTTTCAAATGTGAGTTACCATTCTATGCCATTAGTTAGATTACAACTTTGTAGCTATACCAAATTTCTCAACAATACTATAACAAGAGAACAAGGAGAATATAAAGTTTTACATACCACAGAGCTTGCCTAGCATGTTTTATTTATTTATTTATTTATTTAGAAGTTTTATATACCGGCCTTCTCACCTCAAACAAGGGACTCAGGTCGGTTTCCAGCATATATACAAATACAATAATATACAAAACCACAAAATGCAACATCATTACAGATTAAAATAGTACAGTAAAAACATCATCATCACATTACCCAAGCCACATCATTAATACAGTCATAGTCATAGTCACAGTTCATCATCCTCCTTCCTTGTGGACGAAGGTTATAAATTCAGTCCTCGAATGCCACGTTCCAGAGCCAGGTCTTTTATTAGTTTCCTGAAAGTCAGGAGGGAGGGGGCAGATCTAATCTCTAGTGGGAGGGAGTTCCAAAGCCGGGGAGCCACCACCGAGAAGGCCCTGTCCCTCGTCCCCACCAAACGTGATTGCGAGGGTGGTGGGACCGAGAGCAGCGCCCCCCCCCCCCCCCGGAAGAACTTGTTATATATTGCAATTCAGCAGGCTGAAAATTTCTCCTGAATTATGCTTGTCAATCATTTAGATTTATCATCTAATCCAGGCATTGGCAAACTAAGGCCCGGGGGCTGGATGCGGTCCCCTGGGTGCTTACCACAGGCCCTCCTAATTTTCCCTGTCTTCTTGACACAAGAATAAGGTGGCTCACAGCATGCTTATTCCAACAAGATGGGGGAGGAAGGCACATAGCAGTTGAGAGCCCTCAAGTGTCTCAGCCACCGAGTGTCTTACCCTCCTCGGTGGGTAAGGATGGTGATCCCATCCTTATGCCAGGAGGATGGCTCAAAGAAGGCATGCAGTGGCTGAAGGCCCTCTGATGCACACTCAGCCACCTGTCTCGCCCTCCTCCTGGCATAATAGCAAGAGGGCAGAGGATCAGGGGGAGGATGGGAAGGATAATTGGGGCAGTCACTGCGTGTTCCGCCTTCCCAGCATAAGGATGGGATAAGCAGCCGTGTCCTTATGCTGGGAGGACAACCTGAGGATGACCCAGGCCCTGACCTGCCTCCTCCGGGCCTCAATTTTTCCCGGGCTCTCCCCACCCAGTGTGTGCCCAGCCCCCCTCCCCGCTGGCCTGGTCCTCAATGCAGCCCCAAGGCAAAAAAGTTTGTCCATCCCTGATCTAATCATTCTCTTTCCCACTCTTTATCCCACACACATACTCAGAAAGTAAAAAACATAGAATGCAACATTAATTTTATTAATTTAAGTTAATCATTAATACAACTTTTATATAGTATGATCCTTTACTATTTCCACAACTGCAGCAAACCTGAGCATGAAGTGTTTTAGCTGCTTGCAACATCCTGCACAAGCAACAAAAATAGAGCCATTCTCATTTCATTTTTCTGAGCTCATAGAAAAACAAAACAAGGCAGATCTTGTGACGCCTGAAATTTAGCCATTCTAAAATGTCACTTTTGGGAGAGAAACAAACACTTTTCTTTGGGGGAAATTATCACCCTATATTATTTTTTCCTTCCTTTGTTCAAATGACAAATGTAGATCTGGGTATTTTGGAGAAAGTACCAACCCACTTCCTCTGCCCACATTTTGATATATTTAGATAGCAGTAATCATTCATCTTGATTTTGTACACATTTAAAAATAAACCCACAAAAGTGAAAAACAAAACAAATGCTTATGCAACTACATAAAGTTATTGCTAAAAAAATTGGCAGGCAGCTTGAATGTATGGAACTAATACAATCCTGGCTGAAATATTTTCAGAAATGGTTCACCAACCCACCTGTTTGTTCCTAACTGGTGTCCAAAAGCTTAACAGACTTAAATCAAGTGCTGATCTATCCTAATCTGGGTGATGGGTTATGGCGCCCATCATTTTAAAATAATGAAAAATATTATAGCTATGTGAACTTCAGATTTTTGAATTTCTGAAGTAAACAAATGCTAGTACTTGAAATTGTTGGGTTTTTTTTCAGTCTGAATGCTTCAGCTGTGTTGCACTCATGGGAACCAAAATTAAGAATGATCGCCAATGTTTCTGTGATCAGTGTGAGCATCTATGAGGTATGAAGAAGTGCACAATCTACAGGCTTCTTTATATTTTGCAGGTGCCACCCTCAGTCAAGTCAATTAATTTGGTGGCCCCTGATCTGGGATCACTTTTTTTACTTCATTTATATCCCTAAAATGGTGACATACAAGATTAAAGACCAGATGCCAATAAAAACACAAAAGGTGTAATAAAAAATTCAATGTGCAGATTTGATAAATGGGAATTTAATATGATGTGTGGGAATGAATGAAAGAATGGAAGTATGTATGGAGCTAATAATTTTGGAAACACCAGTAAAAGACCCAGGCCTGCAATGACTAACTACCTGCTTGCTGGACTGTAATTAAAAGTTGCTAATAAGAACTGAAGAGTAAACTCTGATAAGAATTGGGACAGTGATAACAGAAATGTTTACAATGTTAAGAAGGAAGTCAACCTAAGATCAACACCAGTCAAGAAGATCAACATCTGGCCAGGAAACTGAGATGGAGCCAGGATGGAAGACGTCTATCATTAATTTACAACTTTGGGACTACATCAACAGAATATTCCTATAAAAGACTCAGTCTAATAATGCTCAAAGTGTGGCAGACCTGAGGAGTCTGTTCCACCCGCTATGCTCTGCTCAATGGGAAGGAGAGAGCTAGTGTACCTATGGATAGTGGCAGATTTGCATGGGAGCTTCTTTGTTTGTCGTGTCAGGACAACCAGCCAAATTATATTACATTTCTACAGAACAAAGCAAGCAAACAGACAAAATACAAAATTTGTGAGTTTGGTAGTTGGTTAAATGTCCTTTGACCAGTATCTGGAGTCTTAGATTTTGTGCAGGGAGTCAGGTTCTGCTGTATGAAAAACAGAGATCTGGTCCTTGGCATTGTTCTTAGGGAAGAAATTTTGGCATTTTGGCGTTTTGAAGTTATGGCATTATGGAAGTTATGAACCTATGCATTGGCAGGCTGCAGGAAAGCAGAGTCTGTCCTAACAGGTGCTTCTCCAAGGAGGGAGGAAATGATATGGTAATATTTGAATGCCTGAGGATGAATGCGTGTACATGTGGTGTGAATGTTGAGTGAAAATGTAATTCCCCTTTGTCTGTTTGTTAGCCATGTAACTGTAAGTTGTTGTACATCCAATATAGTTGCATAGAATCTGTATGTCTGCATGTCCAATGTCATTCTTTCTCTAAATGTTTTCTGTAATCTGAAAAACACACTCCACACTGGAAATTGCAATAAAAAGAACCTATGCTTCAAAGTTATTGAAAAGTAATTCATGACAAATGTACAGTAATTAAAACTCAAGTAATTCAAAAACAGTACAGAAAAAGAAAAAATAAGTACAGCATCAATCAACTGAAAACCTAAATTTGTTGAAAACCACCTTGAGTTGCCAATTGGCTGAGAAAGGCGGTATACAAATACAGTAAATAAATAAATAAATAATACCGACATAAAGACAACAGGAAAGGGGCCAATGTAGGTTTCCTTGGTAAGCAATGCTTTTGTAGAAGAACTACTTTTAATCTACTTAAATTGCCCCACAACCCAACACTCTCCCTAAATCCAACTGTGTGTAGAAGAGCATTACGCCAGTCACATATTTCACATCAAATACAATTCAGGTCAGAATGAACATAGATTCTTTTCTTTGTAGTTGTTTGTGGACTCACTTGCTTCTCGGTCATACTTTCTATGGGCTGCACTTGCAGATCTAAAAGAAACAGAAGGTTCCATCTCCAAACTACAAGGAAAGTAATACGACATCCCACATGTCTATAGGTTCAATTATCATAATCATTCCATATGTTGTGGAAGGCAAGAGACTGTTAATTTGGGGCTTTTCAAAATTTTCTTTTTCTTTTAATTGATTATATGATTTACAAATATGAACTTGTAGGACAAATATACCATACTTGACGACCTATCCTCCATTCGGATTTTATAGATCTAAGGCAATAAGTTGTTTGTACATTTAGGTTTATAATTCTTAATCGGTTTGGTACAGAGTGAGGTGCACATCTTCAGAAAACTTCTTGGCTTTTTTGACTTTTATAAGGCATTCTTATTCTTCTTGTTGAAAATACTGATGGTGATAATAGTGGTCCCATAAACTGAGCTGTTCTGCCAGAGAAATTCTAATTCAATGAAGAATCTCGGCTCTGTAAGATGAAGACACGAAGTAACAAGGTTTTCTCCACAGTCAATGCTGCAAATGCAGAGTGCTGGAAATCAACCTTGCTATAGATCTGAATGATCTCATCCAAGAAACACAAACTGGATCCAGTGGCATTAAGAGCTGGGATAGGCTGTTGCTGCTTCCTTTTTGATCACCCATGTTCTACGTCCCATTTCTTTTCATTTTGTTCCTTTGGTTGACCTATAGGTCAATGTTCCTTCTAAAGTTGATAATGAAATTCCCTGATTCCATTTTGCAAATATGCTACCAATTCCTGGCAACCTTTTCTTTTCATACAGCCAGTAACCTATTGTGAAAACCTAAGAGGGAGAAAATATATATTAGATCTAATGAAGACACCTAAGGACTGATCAATAAAGCATTCTTCTCCTCGATTCCCACTACCCTTTTCCAGACCAATTATTTTTCAGCTAAGCACAGCACATTGGGGAACCTACCATGGCCAACAAACATTTTGGTGCTTCAAATGTTAGCCCTGTTTCTGGGTCTATTTGACCTGCTGATTCCAAAAATTGCACCACTTTGCCTGGATGACATATTAAGGACAACATAAGGACAATATTAAATACTATAGAATATTATGAAAAAAAATTTAAAAAGTGGGCTTTTTGTTTCTAGATGCTGAAAAAGCCTTTGACAAGGTTAATTGGAATTTTATAATGGAACTGTTAAAAGAAATGGATATGGGATACTATTTTATAAATGCTATTAAAGCAATTTATACTAGACAATCAGCAAGAATCATAATAAATGGACAATTAACAACAGAATTTAAAATAAATAAGGGGATAAGGCGGGGGTGCCCGCTGTCCCCGCTGATCTTCATTGTGATGCTAGAAACTTTATTGGAAAGCATAAGAAATATTCAAGAATTAAAAGGACTGACTGTGCAACAAAACAAATATAAGACACTAGCGCTTGCAGACGACATGGTCTGTATATTGGAAGATTCGATCGACCAATGGGATAAATGGTGGAGAGAAATAGAGACATTTGGAGAGGTGGCAGGACTGAAGATTAATAAGGATGAAACTAAGTTCCTCACAAAAAATATGAAAAAAAGAAAAAAAGAAGAGTTACAAGAAAAATCAGGGATAGGGGTAGAAACAAAAATAAAGTATCTATGAATTCAAATTACAGGGAGCAATGTGCAGTAATTAAAAAATAATTATGAAAAAAGTGGTGAGAGATTAAAGAAAAAATGACAAGATGGCAACGATTAAATCTATACAATGCGATTTCTGAACCAGAGCCCCAAATAACCCAGGAACAGGCCTAAAAACCAAGACACCAAGAATTATTTGTGACGCTACGCTATTAAAGGCCTCCAATAAATTTCAGCCAATCTCTAACCACAATAATCAGATACAATGCCAGTTAGTTAGGGCTGTATTTCTTATATTTGTGCAAGCAATGTGAAGAAAATAGTATATGGCTTCCCAAGCACGCTCAATTTTTGCAATACTGCTCTATTCCAATAAAATCCCAATCCCAGTCAAAGACCTTAGCATCCATCCCATCAAGGTTGAATACTAACAAGCAGCAAGTCAAATATTTTGAAAGAAGATCTTACCTGGGTTCCCATCTGAAGTATATATTCGGAAGCAGTGGTTGGGTATTAGCTAGCTTGAGTATCCGTGACTACGTTGCTCATGTATCTGTGTCAGGGCCAATTACAAGGACATCAGCAGAAAAATGCACTTATTTTTCATCAGTGGTAGATAAAACTTGGTATCCCTCAGAAGACTGTTTGGTAAAGTGGATCTCTTTGTTGAAAATTACCGTAAAAGACGATTCTTACAATGTACTGTTTTGTCATTGTACAATTGTACAGAACTGAATATCAAAAATGGATATGTTATCCATCTAATACCAGGCATCACAGAGGAGCTACAGCTATTTTTATCAGAAAGAGTTTAATTGGGAAGTACTAATGATAAGTACTAATGATAAGAGGGGCCAACCAAGGGCAAGATGGATGGATGGCATCCTTGAAGTGACTGGACTGACCTTGAAGGAGCTGGGGGTGGTGACGGCCGACAGGGAGCTCTGGTGTGGGCTGGTCCATGAGGTCACGAAGAGTCGGAGATGACTGAACGAATGAACAACAACAATAAGTACATGGATTCAACTTTATCCAGCACTTTGGACCTGTATTCACTGCTGTGGATTCAAGTGTAGGATAAGAGGAACAAGAAATTTTTATTTCTTCCCAACTAAAATAACAACCAATTCACACTCAGGCCACTTCTGTACTGTCATATAATACAGATTATCAAAGCAGATAATCCACATTATCTGCTTTGAACTGGATTATATGGGTCTACACTACCATATAATCTAGTTCAAAGCAGATAATCTGGATTGTATATGGCAGTGTAGAAGGGGCATCAGAGCATCATAGAAATCATAAGGTCAAAGTTCTGCGAATTCCTGGAATGCCTGTGGTGCTGCAATATTTGATTTTTATTTAACAATTTTCAGCTTTCTCCTAAGTTATACTAATCACTTGGTAAGATTCCATGCTTTTCAGTCCATCAAATTTTTTGAAGTCATGGTACACAGTTAACCATATATGTTCAAATACCACTAAGAGCTTGTTCACAGCTGAACACATTTCTTGCTCAGCAATGTTCACACTATTCAAATTCCTATTTGCTTGGCATTGTCTCCTGAATCTGAGCCCAAGTAGAACTTCCCAGGACACAAGAATGAAAACAGGAAATGTATAATTGTTGTTGTTGTTGTTGTTGTTGTTGTTGTTGTTGTTGTTAATACCCTGCTTTATCTCCCCAAAGGGGACTCAAAGCAGAGAAAATGTAGAGAAAATTGATGCAAACCCTTCAAAAAAGAAATGCATATCCCTCCAGATAAAATGGCTGTGAACCAAGAGTGGGTCTCTTATTGCTTCAGTTACATATAAATGAAAAAAGAACGGCAAACAATATGTGGCCTATGTGCAATAATTTATAATACATACATGACAGGCAATATTGGTCGGAATTAGATGCCTTAAAGGTCCAGACTCAAAGTTAGTTTCTGAACAAAGTTTATTGCAACAAAAGGAAAGTAACACAGAGACACTTAAACACAGTGCCTCTGGTCCAAACTCAAAAGTTAACCAGACCTGGTTCAAAAGTAAACAGGAATATAATCCGGATAAACCGGATAAAAGAACCGAATCAAACGCAGTGCTTCAAAACCGAACAAAAAGTCACAGCATACAACAGGTTAACAAAAAGATGAAGCCGCAGAGAGAAAAGCGTAGTCAGCCGAAGTCCAGGGTCATAGAAGGAGAAGTCCGAAGTAGCGTAGTTCCAATATCCACAGAAGAAACATCTCAGTCAAACTGGTCCAGGTCCAGGAAGGGGGAAATCCACACTCATGAGAACCCAATCGGAGTTGAAAGCACACACGATCAGGAACCTGCAGATCCCAAACCAATGCCGAACACGAAACCGGCAGCAACAAGTCCAGACAGTACCTAATGCATGAACGTTCACCAATACCTTGCCTTCTGCAAAGGTCCCTCATCCCTGAACCCACTTTTATCTACACATCATCATCAGAAGATGAACTGACCACCGCCCCATCATTATCCCTTGCAGCTGTTCCCAACTCTTCACGTGAATCCCTATGTCCATCCCTCCATCTTCTCCATCTCCTGTCAAGGCTTAGATCCCCCAAAGACACAGTTGGATCTCCCGATTGCCAGTCTTTACCCTCAGAGAACCCCATAAACGTATCACTAGATGTTGGCTCCACACAAATAGCTTGCACTTCCTTCACCTTCGTCCAATCCACATTGTCCCCTTAATTTCCTCGACTCCCTGACCCATCATCCCCAGAGAAACCCTCAAATGACTCCTCATCCGTAGGCGCTGTAAGTATATCCCGAATCCTCTTCCTCTGCCACTCCTCATCAGATTCTTGCTCCCGAGTAACCCTTTTTCTTCCCGTAGACCAATTCATGGTGTCTCCTTCTTCTCCTTCACTCATTGACCCATCATCCCCAGAAAACCCCTCAAATGAATCCTCATCTGTAGGTGCCATAAGTATATCCCGGATCCTCTTCCCCTGCTGCTCCTCATCAGATTCCTGCTCCCGAGTAACCCTTTTTCCCCTTCTGGCACCCATACTACTGTTTGCAACGTTACTCACAGGCTCTACTACAACAATATTACTACAACAATATTACAACAACGTTACTCACAGGCTCTACTACAACCCCAGCCAGGGAAGGAGGGGAAGTGGAAAAAAGGGAATCAATCAATCAATGAATTTTAAAAAATGAAATACTAAGTTGTGATGTGTTCCAAAAAATGATTTAGGGTCAAGACATTTGGAAATCTCAGTAAAATGCATTGATTCTTTTCTCTCTAAACCGTGGTCACCCATGTTAATACAAACTGCTTCTGAATGTCCTCCAGTGTCAAAAGTCATTTCCCATGTGACTTGGTAGGCTGCTGTTCATAAAACACAAGCCCACAGGCATTTCAAATGAACAGGACTCATCACATAGTTCTTTAGATCTCAGCTACAATACAGCCACGCTGTGCTCTTAACAGAGCAACCCAGTTCTAAGAATAGCATATATACAGTTATGTAATGTAAAGTTTAACAATGCATCTAATACACATACAAATGCCAACAGTACCATGTTTTCCAATCTGCCTCTCAATTTGCAGTTAGCCCACAGGTTCAGCATTATATAGATGCAAAAATATGAAAAGGACAGTATACTGAAGGGAGCATTATCAAGTGTGTTCAAAACAGAAGGTGAACAAAATATTAGGTAAAAGGGGAAAAGCTTACTTTTTGGCAAGTCTCCAGTACTAGATGCTGATACTGTCCTGCTCCTATCATGGGATGGAGGGCTTCCCTCTCTTTCAGTAACAGTTGATTCTTCAGAAACAGCTGAACCACAAGCTACGGAATCTAGTGCTCCAGAGAACACAGAAGCCGAGAATTCAGAAAATTGTGATTCGACAATTTTATGACATCCGTTTGGCAATTCACCATTAAATTGTTCATAGGAGCTACTATAACTGTAATCACATTTTGCATTTGGCTCATCGAGATTATATTGCTCAGCATTTGGGCATTCCTCCTCTTCCTCGTCGTCATCTTCAATCTGTTCTTCCAATAAGAAAGGACCGTTTACTATGTGGCCGTTTGTTTTAGGGGATTCTATCCAAGTGGGATCTGCAGACTCTGAATTGACAAGTTCCTGTTCAACATCATCATCTTTCTCTGTGTTTTCTTTTTCTGTGTCTTCCTTTTCATCCTGATCTTCTGTTTCACCTTTTAGGTAAACAGATAACATACACATTAAATTACATTCTCTCTCACCATTTTTAAAAAAAATAATGGTAAGAATAAAAAAAGGCATCTTTTGAACTTATTACACAAAGTTCAGCTCAGTACTATTTTGCCTCAGAGGGCAATGCACACACTTCTGGTTATATAAGTCAATTAGATGGAGTTCCACAGCATTTTTTGTACTGAAGTTATCTTGAGCTACTCTTTTAAAAACCATTGGCAGCTTCCTTCTGTAGTTCCCCGTTGAAACAAAATGCAGAGGTATTTTTGAACTAGTAACTGAATTTTATTATGACAACACTGAATAAACACTGTGCTCTGAAGCAGTGGTAACAATAAATACTGGAGATCTGGTATTGGTTTAAGAAATCTTTGAGGCTTGACAAAGTATAAAAATGCACAATACCTAGATCATATTTATTCCACATATTCGACATAATTTAATGAGACAATTTTGGCTTTGTTGAAACCAAACGTTGCCAGGATCACCTAGCCATATGTACCCAATGTGTGTATATACTGTATTACATCGCATAATAGTCGCAGAGTCATTCAGGGCTAATTCCCCCTTCCTTCCTTTTTTTTCGAAGCCAATGCAGTTTTTAAAAAACTGGTGGCAATGTAAATGAATTTTGGGGGAAGGTATTTGGAGAGATAGAAGCTATAATGGATATGAAGATAGGGAAAAGTGCAAACATTGCACTGTTGTCACTATATAACATTAAGAAATGGAAAAAAACTGAGAAAGATGAAATAGATAACATGTTAACTGCAGCAAGATTACTGATAGCGAAGAACTGGAAAGGTAAAATAAATATATCAATTGAAGAATGGTATAAAGAACTATGGAAAATAGAAATAAACGATAAATTGACATGTAGGTTAAGTGTCAGGAAAGGGGTATGGAAGGAAAATGACTTTGATGAAGTTTGGGGAAAATTTATTGAGAATGGCTTAAAAGAAGTAGATGGGAAATTACCTCCACAAGAAGAAATGGTACTTTGGAAAGAGAATGTAAACTGAAGTGGCTCGGAAGGGGAGGGGGCACAGAGGTACACCCACACACACAAGATATATATACACTTATAGTTGATGTAATCAATTGAGGGTGGAATATAAAGTATTGAAGGTATTGATGTATTCTAAGAAAATCAATAAAATATATTTTAAAAAATAAAAATAAAATAAAAAACTGAAATTGAGATCTCTGGAACTGGAATCTTTCCTCCTTGCCCTTTCTCCAAAAAGTTAAATTTCAGATCTTGTAAACTGATTGGCCTTCGAAGAAAAAAGGGAGGGAAGAGGAATCTTCCCTCCTCCTTGACAACACAGTTTAAAAAACAAAAACAAAAACAGAGCTGTTTGTTTATGGCTGGGTCATCCCTCCTCCTCTTGGGGAATCAAGAGAGATTTTTTTCCATTGGGTAACAGCCCCATTCCCTTTTATTGATAGAAAAAGGCTAAAAATGTGACTATTATGGGATGAAACGTGGTACTCTTCCACCCTGGCCTTCAGCAAGTCATTTCTTTCTCTCATTTCCCATTTTCACAGTTAATGTGAATGGCAGTTTGAAAACCCACTTCTACACAGGAGATTGGCAGTAACAAGAATTAGTAAAAATATTGGTACAACTGCCAATTATTGGTTGTTAGTACAATTGTCATTAGTTTCAAAACTGAAATGGGGAGTTGGGGATTTTAAGTAGATTATACATGTTCACCAGCATTTCAAATCACTTAAACATAAGTGTGTAACAGCTTTACTAAAACTGGGACATCATGGAGGTTTTTTGTTTTTTGGTTTTTTTTAGTATCTTGCTCACACACTCCTTCTATCCTTACATTTTAAAAATAATCTGCTACATGACATAAGGGAGCTGCCATTTGCACAAACTGGTTAGGATCAATGATATAGCTCTACCAGCTGAAAGAGCAGGAGCTTCACCAGCTGAAAGAGAATGCAACCTTATGCAACTTCAATGGAGCATTCTCTTTTTCTCCCGTGACTTGTCACCTGAAGATCTGTTCTGAGGGTCTTCTCTATGCTCCAAAGCAGTGTGTCCCAGGGTTGCAGGGGTAGGGGGAATGACTGCCCACTGGTCCACTAAGAAAACTGCTCATGTTTGCAAAACCATTCTGCTATATTGCACTGGATCAACCCTTCTGAGGTTCTTTGGATCTGCTAACCAACAGGCCAGAATTTACTAATCCAACAGGACCTCTGGACCAAATAATAATAATAATAATTATTATTATTATTATTTATACCCCGCCTACATCTCCCACAAGGGGACTCGGGGCGGCTTACATAAGGCCACACCCATCAATACAGTAAACATAATATAACACAAAAGCATAACAAAAAACCAGAAAATAAAATATATAAAATGCATAACCAATATAATAAGCGACACAGCAATATAAAATCAAACATTAAAACGCAAATGATTACACTGGGCAGGACCAAATACATTTTTATTGCAATTTTTAAAAATCAGCACTTACCATCCTCATTCCCAGGTTCTTCATCTGCTACTTCTTCCAACTCAACAGTTTTTAGCTTAACTTCTGGGTGGTATTCATCCTCTTGTTCATTGGATGATACAGCAGAGGTTACATTTTCTTCTATTTTTTTCTTCTCAGCCTCCCGCTCCAATTCCTCTATTTCCTGCAAACGCTTTTCTAGTAGCTCAGCTTGCCTCTTTTGCTTTTTTTTCAGTTTCTTCTTTTTATTTTTTGATATTTTTCCAATCTAAAATAAAATAACAGGGCTAATTACTCTTGCTCCAAGACAAAGTTAAATCCTGTGAAATGAGAACATCACCGCATGGTACTGCAAAACTGACGTTCTACGTGGACACGCCTTGTTAAGCTTATTGTTTAACCAGGCATATGCTCTTCTCTTCCTGGAGAGAATAATATGGGGAAGTACCAATGTGCCACCCTGACCACTTCAGATATCATTAACGAATGTGGAGTAGGATTTCACACAAAATTGCTTAATCTAGTTTTAGTCTATTACGAGTGAATAATTCAGAGGCTGTACACCAGACCTGCACAACGTACAGCCCAGAGCCTCAGATCTGGCCCTCACAAGCCAGAACCTAAGCCTTAGAGTGGGAGGTCACATGTAGCACAACAGCAAAGCAGCCATTGGAACCAGCTATTCCCTCCTCCAGGTGTCTTTACACGTTTTCTGTCTGTATGCACCAAAGTTACCAAACAAACAAAGAGAGCACCAATAGATCCAGTCAGAATGCTGGAAGTGCTGGTCTCAGTTGGAAATGTCATCTGGGGAGGTTGTTGGACTCAGGTTGTGGTAGGGGGGAACAGGGATGACATTTTAATGGGCATTGGATGTTTATTCAGGGAGGTTGGAAAACAAAGGCAGCATTTAATATAATATTTTTATATATATAATTTATCAGAACCTTAGATAAGATGTATTATGCCACAAATATCTTATTATCCATTTTTCTCAATGTTTATTTAGATAATCAGATTGTATTGTTTTAAAAGCAGACATTTTTGTTAGATAGTTAATGGAATGTCCATATCATACATTGGGATGATTATGGCTGCAACTCAGAAGTTCCATTATTGCAAGGTAAGAGGATATTGGATCGCAGTCATCATCTCACACAGAGATATCGACACTCAGTGGAAGCTTGTTAACTTCTCCCCTTCCACTTTAGCAGCCAGCCCACATATCACTAAATGCTTTGGAAAGTCTTTTCTGCTTCGACGGGTATTTGCTATGAAGCATGAGGGAATGAATGGAATTTGAGAAAAATAAGTGGCAAAGGTGTCTTGCATTCTAGTGAGTGGAATTTACCTGCTGAACTGAACAAGAATGTAACCAGTACAGACTTATTGGCAAGAAAAATGCTTCATAAAACAATTCTTCTAACCTGTGAGGACTTCAGCACACACTACAACTTGAGCCTTACAATTAACCAAGTTACTTTAGCTCTGTCCACATGAAAAAGGAATCGCACCATTTTACTAACAATGATAATACTTTGTATCAATTTTTGGAAAGTATAATTTATGTATTTATAGAATTTATATTCCGCCCTTCTAACCCCAAGGAGGATTCAGGGCAGAGCACAACATATACACGGCAAACGTTCAATGCCGGAACATAAAATAAACTATAAATATACACAAACACTAAAATCAGTTATCTCTAAAAAAAATTGTTTAAAACCATCTCAGATCAGCCATATCAGATCTGGTCAGTAGGACTGAGTTTTCGATCGGTGCTTTATTGCACTGTCCCAAAGACTTGATCCCACAGCCAAATTTTTATCATCTTTCTGAAGGAGGGAGGGGGCTGATCTAATCTCGCCAGGAAGGGAGTTCCTTAGCTGAGGGACAATAATTGAGAAGGCCCTCTCTCTCGTCCCCACCAATTGCGCCTGTGATGGTGACCGGACCAAGAGTAGGGCCTCCTCAGAAAATCCTAATCTCCACGGTAGTTCATAGAGAGAGATGCGTTCAGACAGGTAAACTGGTCTAGGGCCGTGTAGGGGTCCCAGCCTCTAAATGCAACTACAGGGGAGACCTTGACTGATCTTTCCAAGCTGGAGAAAAAAAGCTGGCAATGCCTTTCTGATGCAAGCAAACAGCCCAAACACGTGCAAGACTTGCCTTCTAACCCCACAAAGGAAAAACCTAAGCAGTTCAGCCAAAACAATTTCTTTATCTTGCCCACAGGCAAAAATCAGGACTGCACCTGTACTGGCTCAACATAAGGTGTATTTATTTAATAGTTGCATTATGGATAATAATAATAAGTAGTCCCGCCAAAACAATTTCTTTATCTTGCCCACAGGCAAAAATCAGGAATGCACCATACAGGCTCAACGTAAGCTTTACTTATTTAATAGCTGCATTATGAATTATTATTATTATTATTATTATTATTATTATTATTATTATCCGCTTCCTCCTGAGGCTTGAGGAGAGGTACAACATCATTAAAACAGGATATAAAACACTATTTCTCCTAACAGACCCCTGCATATAGCCCATCCCTGCTTTTATTGTTTACCTATTACAGTACTGTACCCAAATGCCGGTCCCATCTTATTTCAATTTGTATCAGTCTCGACCCAGCCATTTTAATTCCCCTGACCTATTCCTTTTCCATGCCTTAACAAATAGACATGAAGGGCAGGCAGGATTTTTTTCTTTTAATATTTATGTGTTGTTGGGTAATTCCATGCTTATGTCGCTGTTACTGTTATTTTTTTTGTTCATGTTGTGACTGTATGTTTTGATGTTGTTGCTTGGAAACCGCCCTGAATCCCCCTGGGGAGATAGAGCGGTATATAAATAAATAAATAAATTATTATTATTATTATTATTATTATTATTATTATATTAAAATGCATATAACAAGATATGCAGAGTTTAAGTACAAGTTAAAATCCACTGATGAAATGCAGATTAAAATTTACAACTTAAAACTAACTGGATAGGTGTTCTGAAAGATATGGGTCTTCAATTCTGTTTTAAATCCTGACAGCTCGGTTAGCTGTCGAATCTCTTCTGGCAGGTCTTTCCAAAGTCTTAGGGCGGCCAATGAAAAGGCCCTCTGGTTGATGGTTGCCAGTTGGGTTCTGGCTAACTGGAGTTATCCCCCCGCCCAACAAGGACCCCAGTGTCCTAAGGGGAATATTATATGGGAGAAGGCAATCCTGTAGGTAACTTAGACCCAAACCATGTAGTGCTTTAAAGATAAAAACCAACACTTTGTATTTTGTCCAGAAACTAATTAAGAAAACACTGTATTACTTCAATACAAAAACGTATTTAAATAATTTTCAGTAAGGTCACACACACACACACACAAAGAAAGCTTTATCATGTAACAATTATGTATAAAGTTATAAACACTAACAATTCAATATTCAAACATACAAAAAGGACATTCATAATATGAAGGTACTTACAGGCTTCTGTTGTGGGGCAGTACTCACTAAAAATAAAAACACCCAAATGAATAAAGCACAATCAAATTCATAAAGGGATATATGTACACATTATACAATACTAAACATTAAATAAACATTACTAACAGAGTGTCTGACAGCTAGAGCTCTCTTAGATCATTTTTATTTTGTGAACTTAAACATTCTGCAAAGAATAATGCCATGCTTACACAAGGTGGCAAAAAGACTTCGGGATTCTGATATTAATATTGCTGTGGCATATAATCTACCCACCATGTATGTTTTGAGCATCTAAACACTCAAGAAAGCTTTTCTAGGAAACAAGAAAGCTGTGCAATTCTAAAATACACTTTTTGTCCAAACATATTAAATTTTATGTTGGCCAGCAGTCTACTTGCTTAATAATCAAGTTCCCAGATAATGTTTTAAAACAAAAAAAATGTAACTAGATTTCAGAAAATATGCAAATTTATATAATTACTGGACAGAACTGAGTTCTGATATAACATACAGGGTGAGGCAGAATAACTTCCTTTTTAAAAATGTGTGCCATTCAGTCCGTTGAAGACGTAGCAGAGCGCTAGTGGTCTCTTTCGAGAGGCGGGAGTTTTGTCCTGACACAGTTCAGTCACCATCATGCGTTGGAACACTGAGGAACGTGCTTTTGCCATTGAGGCCTATTTTTCGAGCGGATTTGGAGTGGCCGGCTCGCTCTCCAGATTTGGCCCCTTGTGATTTTTTTTTTTCCTATGGGGTTTTTTGAAATCCTGTGTTTATGTGAATCCAAGGACCCTACAAGATTTGAAGACCAACATCCAGGAAGAAATTGCCAACATAACGCCTGCTATACTGGCAAGAGTCATAACAAATGGCAGAAATCGGTTTACTCAGTGTATGGAGAATGGGGGACGTCACCTACCTAATTTGATCTTCAAAACTACATAAAACAAAACTTTAAGTATGCACCTACATTATAAAAAAATCAAAAAAATCTGATTCATACAATGGGTTTTATTAAGTTTTGAAAAAAGGAAGTTATGCTGCCTCACCCTGTATTATTCCAGCATTCAGCATGCAATACAGTGAAAGGCTGTTGTTCGACATTTTCATTTAGTAGGTATGTGTTGTAGAGAAATGACACGTTGAATGTAACATAGTATATAATTAACATCTTAAAGTGATTCCTAGTCTAAGGTCCATGAAATGGCCATAGTGGAACAGTACTTAACTATATCTTTATACCTTGACATGATACTGATCAAATAATATTGGAGGGTGGGGAGAGAAAGAAATGTTCAAACAAAATAAAAAATCTGTTCATGTTAGCATAATTCAGGTACCAAAGAGGGTACCTAGTAATTTTCAGGTTGAAGGAGAATATATATGTTTCTCTATGTACATGTGGAAGAGCCTGGTGAGAAGGGAGTTCCCTGAGATATGAAGGAGGAAAGGTAGACACAGTGAGAGATCAGATATTTTCCCGGATCTTTAAGACAGTTTTAGATTTAAAACTAGGGGGGAAATGTTAGCTGTTGTGAATAACAGGAAGAACATGTAATTAAGCTTTAGCTGGCTCTCGAGAAATAAAATCTTTATATTGGTTTCCTATATTAAAACGAACAGTTACCTATATATTATTCATATGTTAATGACCTTTTAAAACATTTAAATTAGTTCTGTATATATTTACTGAGCCCATTATCTTGAACTAATTAAATGTTCCTCCAGCTAATATCGAGATCTGGTTTTACTTACTGAAGGGATAAATCTCCTACTGTACCTGCTGAGCCAGAAGGTGGAGGGGCACCGGCTTTTTGCCACTCTGTCGCTTCTGCAGCCATTCTACGTACGTAAGTGTCGTCCACACACATCAAGATGTTTTCTGGTTTGATGTCTGTATGGATGATCTTACACTTGCTGTGGAGATAATCTAAACCCTGCAATACCTGATTGCAAAACAATCCAAAGGAGAATGAGATCACTACAATGGAAATCTCTTGCATTTATTGGGTTTCAGCAACTTTCAGGCCCACAACATTAATAAGGAAATACCATATTTTAACGACAAAAATGTTTCCTCTTGTGCAATTTTTTTAGAACTGTACAATAAGAGAGAGAAGTTACAATCTATTATTATAGGTTATATAACTAGAAGATGTTTACACAACATTGGTAAGTCAAGAAATGACAACAAAGAAGGAAGTATTGGTAATAGAAAACAAACATAAATAATTATGGACAAATAACTTCAAACGCTGACAACAGTAGCATTACAGTTCCGCATTCAGTAGCCAAAAGCAAATACAAATAGACTATGCATATATACATTTTATAGTTTCCATCTATTTCAGTACAAGGAGATGTAGCATACATGATGCATGAACAGACTCTCAGCAATTTCTGTTTTTATACTTCAAATTACTTCAAACAGCTCAACCTTTTTCTTGTCAACTATAGACAGTCCCCAAGTTACTAACATCCAACTTACATACAGATCCTGGTTACAAACAGTGGTGAGACAGCAGAAAGTGAGAGGAAATCTACCCCTAGGAACGGAAATTCACTCCTGGAAGAGTTAACATGGAAAGAAGGTGTCTCTACTGAAGATTTATCACCAATACTTGTTTCTACAAGAACCCAAATTTTCAAAATCCAATTATCACAAGTACAGAAAGTGAGGTAAAATCTTCTAAACAGGGGCACAGACAGCAAAACAAACATGATAACTCTTCCAGGAGTGAATTTCCATTCCTAGGGGTAGATTTCCTCTCACTTTCTGCTGTCTCACCACTGTTTGTAACCAGGAGCTGTATGTCAGTTGGATGTTAGTAACTTGGGGACTGTCTATAGTTGACAAGAAAGAAAAAGGTTGAGCTGTTTGAAGTAATTTGAAGTATAAAAACAGGAATTGCTGAGAGTCTGTTCATGCATCAACAAAAGATTGCCCCTGGCTCTGCCAGGCCATCAAATGCTAATCAACGTGGTCAGTTGAAACATTCACATCTAGCTCCAGCAGACAAGAGTTCTTTGTCCCACCCTGGTCATTCCACAGATATATAAACCCATTTTCTTAGTTCCAACAGACCCCACTACCTCTGAGGATGCTTGCCATAAATGTAGGCGAAACGTCAGGAGAGAATGCCTCTAGAACATGGCCATATAGCCCAAAAAAACCTACAACAACCCAGTGATTCCGGCCATGAAAGCCTTCGACAATACATGTGAAAAAAATGTTTTCTAAAAATGAAGTAAAAAAAAACATTTTGAATAATGGCTACTTAGAATGTTCAGACCGGCTCTATCATAAATGCTGTAATGAGTGGTATGGTTCTTCAAACTGTATCAGAGCTAAGTCTTTTGAAAACCCAGTCCCAATAATATCTGATAGTGTTACAAAATTCTGCATTACAAATATTAATGAAAAACATTACAAACATTTCTAGATAAACTATTTTAGCATCTTACCTGCTGTATTATACTTTTTACACAACGGATGGGAAGGCCCTGATAGTTGGACTTAATTATCCATTTTAAAAGGTGATGCCCAAGTACTTCAAAAACCATACAGACATCTGAGAAGTAATTAAGGAATTATGGCCAATAACGTCATTAGTTTGTAAGCATCATGAAAAAAAATATTACAAGTAAATATTCCATATTTTGACCAAGCATTGACTGAACACAATTAAGTTTGCAAGAAAGACTAGTGCAGATGTAATATAAATTGAGACAAAATCTTAAAGCCTCCCTTCTCAATTCCCTAATCTTCTTGAAGTTTAGAACAGATCCGTGATGGTGAACCTATGACACGTGTGTCAGCACTGACACGCATGGCTATTTTTGATGACACGCGGCCACATGCGGCCACATACAGAGAAGTACACCTTATAAGAGCCAATCTAATTCAATCCTTAAATTTGTAAAAGGCTCTACAAATTTAACATTTCCATGTTTCAGCATTGTTCACTCCATAACTCAGCATGGAATATACATTTTTCTTATTTAAACTATAAATATTGCAAAATTATGTGTTTTTCTCTCTCAAAGTTGACACCCCACCCAAGTTATGCTCAGGTTTTTGGCAAATTTTGACACACCAAGCTCAAAAGGTTGTCCATCACTGGAATAGATTCTGATAAAATTACTTTTCTATTATAATTTCAATTGTTCAGGTTCACTTTATTACGGTTAATGACCAGTCAAGAGAAGAGGGACAAAGTCCCGTATAAGCACATCAGATTTAGGGGTTGAGATTTAAAACTTCAACATTAAGACAATTAATTTCAGAATCTAATCACATCATCCACAATATTAAGAGATATTTTCACTTGCTCATTAGTTTATAGAAAGAAAATGACTTTTTCTTGAAATTTCTTTTTAAAAGATGGGGAATATGTAGGAGGTTTAATTAGCACTTAAAGACAGCAGCTATGAAAGTTATTTTTCTCTCTCTTTTTATTTTCTCTTCTTTCTTTCTCTGTATTCTCAACTATATTTTCTTTTTCCTCGTTATCTTTTATTTTTGTTTTATATAGTTTGTATATTGTTTCATGTAGTTAGTAGATTGTATATATTTCGAGGATAAACATATACCCTGTATATAATATTTAAAAGCCCTTAAAGGTAAAAAAAAAGTTAATCATTCCCTTCTCCTTTAAAGAATACTAAAAAGTCAAATGTCAATTTACATCATTATAGCCAAAACAAGGCACTTAAAAATATTGCCTCCCAGGGTCCCATCATATTTTATTCTGAATATTCATATAGCCATGTTTTCCGTGCTGTCAACCTACAAGTGAACAGATGCCACTGGCAGAACAAATTCCCTCTTCATTCTATACCTCCCTGAATAGCCCTCACATATGTTCCAGTTAGCTGGGGGAGCTTTTAGACATGGGGAGAAGAACAAGGTGAAGTTTCATTGTGCAAACAGAAGCCCAGTTACACATTGTTAGATATACCATAATAATAATAATAATAATAATAATAATAATAATAATAATAATAATAATGGGTTGTTGTAGGTTTTTTCGGGCTATATGGCCATGGTCTAGAGGCATTCTCTCCTGACGTTTCGCCTGCATCTATGGCAAGCATCCTCAGAGGTAGTGAGGTGTTTTGGAACTAGGAAAAAGGGTTTATATATCTGTGGAATGACCAGGGTGGGACAAAGGACTCTTGTCTGCTGGAGCTAGGTGTGAATGTTTCAACTGATCACTTTGATTAGCATATAATGGCCTGACAGTGCCTGGAGCAATCTTTTGTTGAGAGGTAATTAGATGTCCTTGTTTGTTTCCTCTCTGTTGTTGTGCTGGTAATTTTAGAGTTTTTTTAATACTGGTAGCCAGATTTTGTTCATTTTTATTGTTTCCTCCTTTCTGTTCAAATTGTCCATGCTTGTGGATTTCAATGGCTTCTCTGTTCAACAGAAAGGAGGAAACCATGAAAATGAACAAAATCTGGCTACCAGTATTAAAAAACTCTAAAATCACAACAGCACAACAACAGAGAGGAAACAAACAAGGACATCTAATCACCTCTCAACAAAAGTTTGCTCTAGGCACTATCAGGCCATTATATGCTAATCAAGGTGGTCAGTTGAAACATTCACACCTAGCTCCAGCAGACAAGAGTCCTTTGTCTCCCCCTGGTCATTCCACAGATATATAAACCCTTTTTCCTAGTTCCAACAGACCTCACTACCTCTGAGGATGCTTGCCATAGATGCAAAACGTCAGGAGAGAATGCCTCTAGACCATGGCCATATAGCCCGAAAAAACCTACAACAACCCAGTGATTCCGGCCATGAAAGCCTTCGACAATACAATAATAATACTTTATTTATACCCCGCTCCATCTCCCTCAGGGGGACTCGGTGCAGCTTACATGAGACCACGCCCATCAGTACAATACACACGTTATAATACAAAAACATAACAATACCACGAAATAAAATACATAAAATGCAAAAATCAATCTAATAAACAAACAACGTTTTTTTCAAAACTTATTTTCAGAATTTCACAAACTAATAATGTTATTAATGTTACTAATAATGTTATTAATTTTAAAAACTCAAACAATTAATCCAGTGTTTGATTTTGGAAAACATAATTAAGGCCATTTAAAATCAAAGTATTGGCAAACTGGGGGTGGGGGTTCAGAACAGGCAGCAAGAAAAAAAGATACGTATTCCATTCATGCCAGAAATTTTGAAGTCGTCAATTAACTGTACAACCATGTCTTTATTTGGATCACTAGGGTCACTTTCACGAACCTAAACAAAAAAAATAGGAAAACATCATTTAAACAAATTTTATTTCAACAGATTTGAAGCCCCAACAAAATATTTTAACAATTGTTTCATGGACATTTTAGCTAAAAAAAATACTGTGATGTGAAAAATTTATGTTATGTTTTGGTTAAATAAATTCAAAGGAAGATTAATCTCAAGACTGCACATCTGTTTAAACAATTAGATATACACAGTAACATAGCACAACATATTGTCCCAATACTTACACATTTAAGTAATTTTATTTCATCCAAGGCTGTCTCTGTATAATGTTGAGCACTTTTCACTACTTTCATTGCAACGAACCTTTTCCCCCTTGAAAATAATATTAAAAAGAAACTATCAAAGCCAGTACATTTTGTTAACATTTTTTTAACATAACAATTACGACATATACACTCGGATATAATTCAACCTCACATAAGATTGAGGGGATGTTTGGGGATTAAAGTTATGGATTTTGCTTTGACCTGTGGACAACTTGAAGGTAAAGCCTTGAGGCATGTAACAAACTAATCTTTTCATTCCCTTTTAAAAATGAATAGCATGAACATACTTAGGAAGAGCTAAAAAGAAGGCAAATATCTGCTTACATGAAGGAGTACTTGGGGAAGGCTGGATGTAACTTGTGTGGATTTATTTTTTTATGATCTGATTAACATGTTATCTTTAGACATTTTTAGGTCCTCCAGGACAACTCTATGTTGACTGTGGAGTTGACCATGGACTCATCCTGGACTTTAACCTACTATAGCTGTTAAAATAGCATTTTTTTTACAATTCTCCACTTTTGCAGAGGTCCTGTGTCTTAATCCTTGCAAACGTGTAATCATAGCACTACATCTGCCCTTTGTAAAGGAAAACATAAAATCTGTCCACATTAAAACTTCTTAAAATTTGTATAGCCAGTAAGTCCACCAATGATATTTGTTGTTCATTCGTTCAGTCGTTTCCGACTCTTGGTGACCTCATGGACCAGCCCACGCCAGATCTCCCTGTCAGCCGTCACCACCATCCAGTCACTTCAAGGATGCCATCCATCCATCTTGCCCTTGGTCGCCCCCTCTTCCTTTTTCCTTCCATTTTCCCTGGCATAATTATCTTCTCTAAGCTTTCCTTTCTTCTCATGATGTGACCAAAGTACTTCATCTTGGCTTCTACTATTCTTCCCTCCAATGAGTAGTCGGGCTTTATTTCCTGGAGTATGGACTAATGATATATGAAGGAAAATATACCTAGAAGTTCAGTATGGCAAATGCTGTGCTAAATAGTGAAATAGTGGGAAATATTAATACTCCTGAATTATACATCCTACATCTGGGGTATCAAACCTATGTTCATTGAGGGCCAAATCAGATTTATGGTTGCTTTCAAAGGGCTGTTGAATCCATGAATGGAGAATCTGTGGATACAGAGGGATAGCTATATTTTCTTTTCACACTGTGATTGGTACTCTTTAGTTTTTACCCAGATGTTACTGAACTCCCATTGCTTTTGATTATCTGCCATGTAAACTGGGGATAAGGGGAATTGCAACCTAGCAGTACTTGTGGTTCTGAGGCTGGAGAAAAGTTCAAGGACATGTTAACATCAGACATCCTTTCCACAAGCCTTGTAAGTAAATTCAAACCCCACTCTCCTGATTAAACAGAACAAACTGCAGCTTTCCACATGTTACTGTATCACAACCGCCAACAGCTCTAGTCCTGATGTCTAATGATGAGGAAGAATACAGTTTCACTGTATTTCACTCCAGCATCTGAAGGGCCATATAGAATGACAAGGAGGGCCAGATTCAGTTTGACACATATATCCTACATTAAAGGTCTACTACCATATATACTTGAGTATAAGCCGACCCAAATATAAGCCAAAACACCTATTTTTTCCACAAAAAATGGGAAAACTTATTGACTTGAATATAATCCAAGGGTGAGAAATGCAGCAGCTACTGGTAAATTTCAAAATAAAAATAGATACCAATAAAATTACATTAGCTGGGCATCAGTAGATTAAGTGTTTTTCAATATTTACATAAAACTGTAATTTAAGATAAGATTGTCCAGCTCTCATTAAATCATTAGTCTAACCTTCTTCAATGTAAATGTGCTTAAGTATCCTTCCGAAGATCACTATAGTTTATTTTAACTATACATTTTGGGGGAAATAATGTGTGTATATGAATAAGGAAAAATGGGAAAAACTGACATGGGAAGGGGTGGGAAAGGACGACTAGAAATGTGAAAAAGTTAGAATGGGAAGGGGTGGTTGAAAAAGTGAGAAAATGAGGTGGAAATGGGATAGCTGGGAAAGTAGGACAGACTGGGGTGGGAAGGGGACAACTGGAGGAGGGGGAACTCCTGAGGTGTGAAAAGGAGGCTAGAAAAGTAGAAAGGAAGCCAGTCTAAAGTGTGAAAAGGAAAAGGAATTGGGAAAAGTTGGGAAATTTGGGGTGGGAAAGAGGGGTAGCTGAAAACTGGGATGGGGCAAGGAAGACTGAAAAATGAGCAAGACTAGGGTGCAAAAGGGGGGAGGGGTCTGGAAAGGTGGAAAGAGTGAGAAGACGGCAAGTGTAGAAGTGGGAAAGACTGAGGTGGAAAAGGGGTCTGGAAAAGTGTGAAAATCTGGTGTGAAAAAGAGGGGCTGGGAAAAATTTTGCAGTGGGAAAAGGGGCAAAACTGACATGGGAAAGAAAGGCTGGAACTTGGGTTTAACTGGGATGGAAATGGAGATGGAAAAGTGGGAAAGAAGGGAAAACTAGAAAAGGAAAACTGGGTGGGAAAGGGGTGCTGGAAAACTGGGGAAAAACCTGAGGTGGGAAGGGAGGAAGTGGGAAGGACTGAGGAGAGGAAGGCATGCAACCGCTCCTCCCCTCTCAGCACAGTGACCCAGGGCTTCTTTTAGCCCCACACCTTCCCACCAGGACCCTCACACAAGAATAAGTTGAGGAGGGCTTTTGCAGCTTAAAAAGGGGCTGAAAAACTAGGTTTATACTCAAGTATATATAGTAATTGTTATATAGTCCCATTCAGATTTTTAATCTATTAGTGACTTCATAGAGAATAAATCCTATAAAGTACTATTTACACCTATTAGAAGGTCAACATGCAAATGAGAAAAAGTGTATATCTTACTGCATATCCCAGCATAGCCAGACTGTAGAGAAGTGTCCCCATCCTAACTTTCTGATGACATGATATCGGCCATTAAATAGATCTCCAATTTTCACTGGGTGATAGCCTCCTTTGCGAACATATAAAATAACATACAGAGAAAATCAGCAATTTGAATTACATATATGAATACATCTTAGTATTGCTAACTAGTATTAGAAATAATTAGAAAATAATCCAATGGTTATTTATCAGGAGCAAGTTCATTAAACATAATGGGAGTTACTTTTGAAGAAAGCTATAATGGATTGCATTGTTCAACAGGTCTAATCTTAGGGGAAAAATAACAGGAGCTATATCTGTCTTTATGGAAGTTATCAGATATGCAATATTTAACTAGCCTATTTGGAGAATAATATAATAGACTGCTTCAATGTCTATTAATGGTAAAACATTCAAATCAATGTGCAGTTGCTTCTGTAAATGTAATGTATCATTTGTGTTTTTTTCTACAACCTGAATGATCAATGTTATTAACAGACCTCTCCCTTCTCTAGTAATTCAGAAGAACTCTACAATGACTCTTTCATAATTGACAAATTCTTTGATAATTCTGGCACGATCTAAAAGCCCTGGACGTGTCAATTTATGGATAAAAATCACTCAGCTCTAGCATTACATGCAATGTATGGATTGATATATTAAAAACATATAAGATATATATTAAATCTTTCCCTGTGTAGCAAGAAAAAAAATCATGACTAATGGTCATTTCCACCTTCTCTAATGTTCCATACAATTTACAGCATTCTTGATTAAAATCTGGCTAGCTGGCCATTCCTGTTCTATAACTTCATTTTAGCTGAGATTTTTCTGCTACATAGGTTTATTTATGAACACAAAAAATCCTATATCATAAGTATGACAGTAATTTACTTAAGTACTTGCATTTTAATAGTTATTTTACAGAATAATGAATCAGATTTATTTAAAATCCAATATTCTCTAAAATGACATTTATTTTTCCATAAACCTACAAAACGAACGTTTTGCAGCAAACCTACAAACTTTTATAAACCTCAACTATAGTTTGACATAATGTCAACTTGAACACATCATAGGTTATGATTGACTGGCAAAGCAAAATTGGAAACTACAGTTTCCTATATAGCAGATCTTCCAGAAAGGCTCTCGGTATAAGAAATAATAATAATAATAATAATAATAATAATAATAATAATAATAATAATTGGAAATAAAAGACAAATATGCAACTTAAATTTGTATTTTGTTCTTGCTTACTCCATCCTCATCCTCACTACCTATCACAATTTTCTATCCCCATTTCCAAGTCCAGGGGATATTCATGTGGAAATCATATGGTAGCTATGTTCATAAAGACTAGCAATCTATTTTGATAGTTTACACATTCCTAGTAAGTGTTTAGGCACACTGTGGCAGCAGTTTGAAAAGGTATCTGATCGGTTTTCATCACACGAAACCCAGACCTAATATGAATGACATCTTATTCTTTGACAAAACATAAATCACAATGTCAATGATCTCGCTATGCTTCTTCCCAATGCAATGAAATCCTTCAGAGGCAGAAAAGTGTATTACTATTATTATTATTATTATTATTATTGTTGTTGTTGTTGTTGTTGTTGTTGTTGTTGTTGTTAATTTGTACCCTGCCACCATCTCTCCAGAGGGATTCAGGGTGGCTCAGAAGAGCACATTTGAAGTTCAAGAAAAAGAACAAACAATACATAAGTCTATAAAACAACAACATAAATCCATAAACAATAAACACACATAAACCTCATCCAGTAAAATGTTAAAATTCATAAAACACATTAGAGCCTGCGGGTAAGACTAACTGTCTTCCATTAACAGTCCAAAGTGCTGGAGTGTGCAGTCGCTTTAATCAGGGTGTGATATGTTCCCTAAAGCTAGCCCCAGTTAGTAATCTGGCTGCCAATCTTTGAACTAACTGCAGCTTCTGAATCATCTTCAAAGGCAGCCCCACACAGAGTGCATTACAGTAGTCCATTCTGGATGTAACCAAGGCATGGACCACAACTGACTCACCTTTCGCAAGTGGAGCACCAGTTTTAACTGTGCAAAGATCCTCCCAGCCACCACCGACACCTGAGCTTCAAGTGTCAGCAATGAATCTAGGAGGACACTCAGACTTCAAACCTATGTTCTCAGGGGGAGTATAACCTTGTCGAGCACAGGTTTCCACCCTATACCCCGACTGGCCTCACAACTGACCAGGAGAACCTCTGTCTTGTCTGGATTAAGCCTTGACTTGTTGGCCCTCATCCAGTCCATTGGAGCCCCCGGTGGCGCAGTGGGTTAAACCCTGTGCCGGCAGGACTGAAGACTGACAGGTCACAGGTTCGAATCTGGGGAGAGCTCCCTCTATCAACTCCAGCTCCTCATGCGGGGACATGAAAGAAGCCCCCCACAAGGATGATAAAAACATCAAATCATCCGGGCGTCCCCTGGGCAATGTCCTTGCAGACGGCCAATTCTCTCACACCAGAAGCAACTTGCAGTTTCTCAAGTCGCTCCTGACACGACAAAAAATAATAATCCAGTCCATTAAAGCTGCAAGGCAACGGTCCAAGATCTGGGGGAGCTTCCTTGGAATGAGGTGGAAAAGAGTAGTAGAGCTGTGTGTCATCTGAACAGAGATGGGACCCAACTCCAAAACTCTGGAAGACCTCATCCAGCAGTATTTTTGTAGCATAATTGTAACTATAATATGATTTTAAAAGCTAAATATGAATAGGTTTATCCAAAGACAATAGATATTATTTGAAAGAGAATTCCATTCTGGTCTTAATTCAAACAGCCAATAATGAATAAGCTTTCCAAGTTTCCTGAAATATAAATACACAGATGGCGCATCTCGACAATACTACTGACAAACCTCAAAGTAAATACACTTCTCAATTCTGTAATCAGGCTGTATGCCTAGGTAATATTATCTATACGCTACAAGACTTTGTTATCCTCCAAGCAGACTGGCAATGGTAATCCACAACTACACAGATGTAACGGGCAAACAAGTTCATGCAAGGCTCAGTGACGTTGCAACCGCAGATGTAAATTCTAGTCCAGCAGAACTTCTAGACCAGCAGTGCTAAGAGTCTCAGAGGCAACAGCTATTTCAGATATAGCAGCCGTTTTTTAGTTTTTTGCAACAGTAAAAGTATACAGGGTCTAACCACTAACCCACAATTAGTTTTCATGTTGTAGGAATATAATTTAAAGAACACATGTCTCTACCACTGCCAGAGATTGTTCTAATACAAAGTTAATATACTGTATCACTTCACAAGGAAACAGTATCTGCAGTGTATCACCAATCTCCTAAAACATTCTTTCTAAGATGGCATAATGGTGTATAAAACATAAATTTTGGCTGAATCTAAAGTAGTTTTAGGTTTAAAAGATAAACCAGTTAGAAGCAATTATATAAAGTTGCATTATTAATACGCAGCTTATTGGGTCATCCTATGACACAGCAATGCATCTATTAACCAAGATCCTATACACTTTCACTATAGGATCCACTGTAGGATTCCACAGCTGCACAACCACTGTGCACAATGTGTATCATGGCCATGAGCAAATTCCTCATGCAATAGTCAATTAGCTCCCAATCTATCAAATTGAAAGTGAGAGAAAGGTATGTGGGTATTTGCATACAAACAAATGCAATATTTTTAACGAACATAGTCAGAATTACTCTATTTCTGAGGTATACTGCAATTATAGTCAAAGAAACTGAAGAACAAAACACATTTTCTTCTAAATTTGCAAATGCTTTAATTTGTTTTTAGCTAGAGTTGTTCAGATTTAAAAGGAAATTATTGGTTGCACTTTAGGGAGGGAGGCACACTTCAATACTCTGTTAGAAGAATTTTAAAGTCTGATTTAAAGAGCTGTTTTGAATATTGACATTTTCTTTACATATAAAATGCATGTTCTTCAAAAATGTACTAAATGTCATTATGTGTTTCCAAAGCTTTTGACATCTAAATATTCAAACATTAGCGGGATGACTCAACTTCTTGTTCTGAATGGAAAAATACTAATACGGATGAATTCAAAGTGCCCTCTCTTTTTTGACATCTACCAGGGATATAACAAGCTACTGTGCAATTCAGCACAGCACAGAAAACAATGACATGTCTCATGCAATACTTAAATAGTGCATGGTACTGAAAAAGAATTGGAAATTTAGGGGGTATTCTTAGCAGGGAAACATGGCAAATTCTAGCCTTTGTGAACTGGATGAATGGGAGACATCTCCAGAGTGAATAAGAATTGGACCAAAGTAGCAAGGAATGTCCATCATGGCCTTGTAAGGAAAATTTAGAATAACTTTGAAGTCCAAAATTTTAAAAGAAGAACCATTAACAGACAACCAGAATGACCATTTCATAGTGATAATAGTTCGCAAACAAAATGAAGAAATTTATTCACAATCAAGAGAATTTCAAAATATGTTTATACATATATATTCCCTGCATTGCAAGGAGTTTCTTTTAAAAAATTACATTAGGATTTTTGCATATGATATGGAGGGGGTGGGGAATAAATGGTGGTACGATTGCTATTATCCAGACTGAAACAGTTTTTCCTAAAGCCTAGTAACCAATAATTCTAGTTAAGAATAGTTTGCACAGATTTTTATTTGAAATGTCTTGAATTCTAGTGAATGGTAAAATATGTTACACTTATTTTGCACAAGTTGCCATTTGAATATAGATCTAGACAAGTTTCATTATTTTTGAATATATGTTTTCTGATTGTATACTAGATTGTTTGTGTCAAATAAGTAATCAATTAAAAAAAATCAGTTATTTTTAAAAAATGAATTGCAACCTCTCTAGACTAAATCCTCACTTAGGAACTACCTGGTTTCTGCCATCAAACATTTCCCCTGATTAAGTTAATGCCTTAACTTACAACCTCTGGAAAAAATGGCAAGATCTGACTGAACAGGAAACAAGACAACTATTGTGTGTTTATGGGTGAATTTTAAAGTCAAAATCCTGCAGTCCCACCTTTCTAAAACATTTATTTATTTATTTACAGTATTTACAGTATTTATTTCTCGCCCCGCAGGGCACTCAGGGCGGATTACAATGTACACATATATGGCAAACATTCAATGCCAAAGACACACACAGATATAGACAGACAGTCAGAGGCTATTTAACTTTTCTGGCCACTAGGGGAGATGTCACTTTCATCGTCCATCTGCAACACTGATGAAGTACTTCTGCATTCCCCGCATGCTTTTTGCTGGAGTATTTTTTATGGCCTCATAAATTAGTTAAATTAGCCTCCCCACACTTAGGTGGTACCTAACTTTCCTACTTGACAGATGCTACTGTCTTTCGGGTTGCAAAGGTCGACAACAAGCAACACAATTGGTCGTAAGCTCACTCTGAACCGGGCTGGCTTTGAATTCATGACCTTTTGGTCAGAAGTGATCTTAATGCAGCTGACACTTAGCCAGCTGCTCCACAATCCCGATGGCGCAGGAGATTGAGGCTTTTCCACCTTCTGTTTATATTAAGGATTAATACCAGCAATCAATCAACTAAAGCGATTTGTGTACATCTTGTACAGAAAGCAGAATTCTCAAAAGATTCTGATCTATTCCAGTGTAAAAACCTAAGTGGCCAGTTCACAAAATAAGGTGTTCGCCCTGTTTATGCATACTAACCTTTGCAATAATCTGCAGGATCTTCTTGCTCTTCATCATCAGAACCCAGAATCTCCTCCTCTGGTTCTGGTGGTGCTGGCTCTGGCAAAGGCGGAGGTGGTGGCGGAGGTGGTGGCGGTGGAGGTGCAGAGGGAACTTTTTGCTGAGGCTCTGGCCTACAAAGAGAAAGCAGATAATTCATAAAATAAAGTATTCTGTCAACACACTGCAGCTTCCTTGCTCTTTTTTCAACAACTGGGTATTCCGTCAACACATGGTTTGATTACCTAGCCACTTCCTTGCTCTTTTTTCTAGAACTGGATTTAATTTCTTAATAAATTTATATTTTTAGAACAAATAAAAGAAAACACGTATATTTCTATAAACTGTGTGCATAACACTGCAAATAAACATTCAAATCCAAGTACTGACTAGTGTATGTTGGGGGTGAGGGAGAGTGCCTTAGTGCACGCATGCAAGAGCTAAGATATCTTTAACAGATGTTCAATCTGTCTGTCAGCATCACAACATATATAATGTATGTCCTATAAAAACATGAAAGATCATGTTAACTCATGATGTACAAAGAGAGTCCGAAGGAATGCTGCACCTGACCACCTTCTGACCACCATGTTCATTTTACAGTTTGGAATGTGTGCGCTAACACAAGAAACGATGTAAAGTGGATTTGATTCTAATTAATCAGAAATAAAGGACTCAGGAATTACTCTAATTTTTTCAACAACTGAAAGAAAATAATGGTGAAAAACTAGGAAAACAATGTGATCAAAGATCGATACACAGCCCAACCACAAAAAAAACCTTTTCTTGGTGTCTTGGTTTTTAAGACTGTTCCTGGGATTATTTAGGGCACTGATTCAGAAAATTGCAGTGGATAGACGGCATCATCACTAGTTTCTTAGATATGGTTTTATCATGGTTTTCTATGAGCAATCAAATGGCAACTGGTAGATGGCTTCCGTATCTCAAAAGTAGAGCTGATGGGGTGCCATTTTTGGAATCAGCAGGTCAAATATACTCAGAAATGAGACTAACATCTAAAGATATCTGTTGGCCGGGGTAATTTTAAAAGCCTTTAACCACAATGTCACATAAAATATCAAGCTGAATGCAAGGCATACACAGCAGCAAACGAGGGATGCCTTATTAAGAAAGACTTCATCCAAAACTTCTTTTTTTTTTAAAAAAAAAATGAGTCATCACTAAAAAAAATAGCAAAACTACAGCTTAGTCATAGATACTATCTTATTTTTTTCATCTAAATGGAATCTAATTCACAGCTTTGATTCACATATTTTTGTACTCCTACCAAGCAAGAAAATATTGAATCAGAAATACTGACATTTTATAAATCAAAGAGTGAGCAGAAAAATCCTAGTCTGAAATTCTAACATGGGAGGGGCGGCAGGGTAGGAACCAGCCTATCTGCTGGCCTCTAGTAGTAGAGCAGGACTCTGCTCCTATGAAGGTCCCTGCTATGTGAGCCAGCATAAACTGATAAAAAGATATACAATTGACCTTATGTTGGCATAGGAATTGTGCACATACATGCCTGAAGCAGCCAGCAGTGCTCTCAACAAAATAGTAGATATGATTCTTCATCCCCCTCCCTACCCCACAAACCCATTCTGGATTGGACTGTAAAAACAAGAGTAAAAAGAAAAATAACCTACAACTCAAAAGTTGTGTTTTTTTTTAATTATATCTTTTTGTTACAGCACTCTTTATTAGAAACAAATTAGGCAAATCTCACTATAATTTAAACATCTTCAGGGAGCCATATCCTGAAATGGCCCTACTGCTTCCTTAAAACATGTTAGACATCCCATTTTATTATTTCTTATTATTATTATTGCAGCAAATTTTGTAATGTGCTGATAAAATCAAGGTTAAAATATTTACTAAAAAACAATATTCAAAACAAAAAAGCTCTTCACAAAACAATAAGAAAACTTACCAAAACATGCAAACAGTAATTCTGTAAAATTAATTATCCACTTTACAAAGTGGTTTAGTGGAAATATTGTTTTGCTATGCTTGATGAATGCAACTGGAATATATTGTTGGAAATAGCAACCTTCTACAAGCCTTTACTAGTTATTTGTTATGTATACAATTCAGATTTCTTGCTATATTGTATGCATATTTTATATGCCGTTTTCCTTAACTCTATGTTGTTTGAGGTTGTGGGAGGGACTATAGACCATGTGACCAGATCAGAGACTATTCAGACTGAGACTCCCTTTTTGTCAGTGTTTGCATCAGTAGCAGTATAGTACAGTTTAAAAGTCAGTAGTGTCAGTATGGTGCACTGTGTAGTCAGTCTTTATTTAGTCAATGTTCAGTATTCATGTTCTATGTTTTTGCATGACAAACCTGCTGAGGAACCCAAGAAGCTACATGATCTTTAATGGCCTAAAACAGGAGTGACCCTCTAGAATAGGCATGGGCAAACTTGGGCTGTCCAGGTGTTTTGGACTTCAACTCCCACAATTCTTAAGAGCAAGTAATTGTGGGAGTTGAAGTTCAAAACACTCGGATGGCCCAAGCTTGCTCATGCCTGCTCTAGACAATGGGGACTGCAATTCCCATCATCTTTAAACAAAATATCAAATTGTGAGGAATGTTGAAACCTGTAATCCAACAACCGAAGGGCCATAAATTGCCAATTCCTAATGTGGTATGTCTTTCTAGATTTTGGAATATAATATATTTCAGAGTTTGAGGGAGAGACAAGGAGTAATCTAGTAGTTGCAATCTTCAAGTAGTCAAGGACAAACGTGTCAGGTAGAGAAATCTGTGAATTTCTAAAATGGTATTGAATGCTATTGGTTGAAATAGTATTTCATAATCTAGAACAGTATTTGTAATTATAAATTAACTGCTCTTCTTTACAATTTTATTTGCTTCCCCTATTCTGTGCTTGTAGATATTTAAATAACAGAAATGTCATAAATACAGTATGGGATGCCAATATGTTCACTTGTTAAAATGAAATAAACCGTTTTAGAATTGCTTGTGAAATTCTTATCACTGAATCATATTGACATATTGGTTTTGGTTCATTATCAAAATATTCTTTAAAAGTTGTGATGTCATCATGATCTCATAATAATCTACTCAAAGCACATAATTTATATTCTCGGTTGGTGAATTTGACTGTGCATCATTACCAATTTGAACCTGCACTTCTGGGCATTTTTACTTAGTAGCATCAAACCAAAAATACCAGAATTTGACTAACTTTTCAATGTATTAACAAACTGAGAGTGCATCTAAAGAAGTTTCAAACTATATTGAAGACAGTGGTTTCGCTGTGCAGATGATTACATAGGAAATCCTGGAACCAGGTTGAGGCCTGGATGGCTTTCTTTTGCATGGTTTTGTGGACATTCATTGTCTAGTCCAGGGGTCTTCAAACTAACGCCTGGGGGCCAGATACGGCCCTCCAAGGTAATTTACCTGGCCCGTGCTCAGGGTCAACCTAAGTCTGAAATAACTTGAAACCACACAACAACAACAACAACAATCCTATCTCATCAGCCAAAAGCAGGCCCACACTTCCCATTGAAATACTAATAAGTTTATAGTTGTTAAAATTGTTCATTTTAATTATTGTATTGTTGTTAAGTGTTTTTTGAATTACAAATAAGATACGTGCAATGTGCACAGGAATTCATTCATGGTTTTTTTTTTTCAAATTATAATCCGGCTCTCCTACAGTTTGAGGGACTGTGACCTGGCCCTCTGTTTAAAAAGTTTGAGGATCCCTGGTCTAGTCACTGCAATTTGAGCTAGATTTGAACTGAATTCAATGCTCAGTGCAAATAGGGCCTCAAGTAAGATTATAGATCTATCCCAAAAGCCAACCCTGTGATAGAGAAAACAGAAATAATCATCCCATCGACAGAATATTAGCAAACCATGTGAGAAGCCTTCAAAAGATTTGGATTAATGCTTTCTCCTTGATGATTCTCTTCATTTTTCCTAACTGCAGGCAAACCATAATCGTAACCAACAAACTGTGATGTGCATTTATTTCTGTAAGGCAGGGGTCCTCAAACTAAGTCTCCAGGGCCGAATACAGCCTTTGAAACTCATTTACCCGTCCCTCACTTAAAGTCAACCTAAGTCTGAAATGACTTGAAAGCACACAGCAGCAACAACAACAACAACAACAACCACCACCCTATCTCATTAGCCAAAAGTAGGCCCATACTTCCCATTGAAATACTAATAAGCTTCTATTTGTTAAAATTGTTCTTCATTTTAATTATTGTATTGTTTTTAAGTATTTTTTGCACTACAAATAAGATATGTGCAGTGTGAATAGGAATTCATTCATATATTTTTTTCAAATTATAATTCGGCCCTCCAACAGTATGAGGGACTGTTACCCGGCCCTCTGTTTAAAAAGTATGAGAACCCCTGCTGTAAGGTATATAGAACAAATGCCAATACCAAAATCATGATCCTTCAAATCACAGAAATATATGAAATTATTGCATAAGAGGAGAAAAAAGGAACTCCCATGGTTCCTTGAAAGTCTATTTTTGCAACATTAAATTATGGTTTGATATTACACATGAACTATCCAAATCTATTATTTTTATTGCCATCCTGCTAAAATCCCTTGTCAACTTTGTTTTAAAGCTTCTAGTAAAATCTGTCTTTGCACTAAAGTTCAGATACCAAGCCACAGATTAGCAAAAACAGGACTCTGGATGAAATGATGGCCTAAAAAGAAGAGATAGGATACATTTTCCATAGAGTATCATAAAGATTATCGTAATGCAACAGTAAGATAATAAGCAACCAGGGTCAAGAGTAATTTAATCAGTTAGACTAGAGGGATAATAGAAAAGCTGAGTTTTCATAAATAGGTTTTGAAAGGTGATGTTGAACAATGAAACATCATACCCAAGAAGTCTGGCTAAAATTCCAAGGTTTCTTGGAAGATACTATTTAAATTATTGAGCATCTGATTTTATTTTATTTATTTTTTTGCTTTGTTCTGTTAGAAATGTAATATAATCGACTGGTTGCACTGACACGATAAATAAATAAAAATAAATAAATAAATCTGATGATTCTAAGAAAATGCCTAGGGGAAATGGATACAGTAAATGTAAAAGTATCAAGAGATGTGGAATCA